CCAAAACAAGCACATAAACCGTCGATGACTAATGAAAATACACAGACAGCTCTCGTTCTGCAAGTGTCATAGATCCACAAATGTGCTCATAGTTGAACCGACGTGGTTGGGATTCGCAAAGTCGCAAAGGCAACGACACATCGTAAGGGTAAGGGTGTCTCAGGAGCAAGGCGATGCGGGGGCATCATTGCCCAATCTCACTATGTAGGAGGCATCCAGCTATCAGGATGCTGATGCGAGTATTACTGCCTGTTGACCTGTTCTGGTTACCTCCTAGGAATGCAGATGCCAAAATCGAGGACATTCAGGCTATTAGGGTCCTTATCACTGATCTGCAATTACGTACACCGCTGAAGGAACCAGTACATCTAAGTACACCTAAACTCCCAAAACCGCAAACCTAAATTCCAAAGCCTAAACCCCAAAACATCCATAAACCTAAAACCCTTCAATACCTTACCCGAAACCCCTCAAAAAAGGTATCCCTGGCCTTGGCTGTCTGCGCCAAAATGTTCGCAGCAATCTTGTCTCCGAGCCTAAGAAAGATTGGCTTTGGGGTCTCGGGTTTAGGTTGGGACTTTGGGTCTAGGGCTCAGGGTTCGAACTATGAGGGGATATTCATACGGTTGATGATATAAATCCTGCACTACCTTAAGGACCCTAAACTATGGGAATTATGGTATATTCGTGACTATGGGTAATGCAGGATTTATATCATCAACCGTATTGCACCCCGGAACATCTCTGTGACTCTCTTCCCAGTTCAGGGGGTCGCCGGGGGTTTGATTCAGTGGCATTGCGAGTGTCGCTTTTCGAAGAAAGCAAAAAGATCATATCCTTAGGCAATAATAATTTCTGTCGTTTGGGGTGCGATTCGTGCTCCTGCACTGCTTCAGACCTATGGCCTATATGGGTTTAGGATTGCAGGGGCGGCTTAAAATAGGAGACGGAACAATGGTCAATAGTATTCCCTTATTGTTCCCATATATAGTTAGCATAAAATACCCACTCCGCACCCAAACCCTAAACCCTAAATTCCCCAAACCCCAAACCCCAAACCGGAAAATCGAAATTCCAATCATCAACAACCCCAAAACCCTTGATCCCTAAACCAAACCCCAGAACCCCCAAACCCCTAAACTCAACTGAATCCCCAAAACCCCAAAACCTCATACCTATGGTCTCCATTGTAATTCCTTTTTTGGGTTACCTTGTCGGATCCTAGTTATAAATTTGGTTGAACCAAAAAACGAACTACAATGGTGACTATAAGTAGGCTGCGTGTCGGCTTTCGGTTAAATCCAAGGCCCGTGCGCAGCCATCACGCCCGAGGGGGGGCCGATAAAAGTGATGCCAATCTCCTTGAAACACGAGGTACCCAAAGGCTCCATGTACCTTTATAGTAAATACTTAAGCCTTACAGGGGTCCCTATATGGGCACTTTAAGGCCTACAGTTTTCTATGTTGGCCAATCGTGCAATCGATGAAAGCCGGTCTCCTTTGCCGCCCCTCCCGGTCTTAGAAGGAGTTATAAGCAGGGACACAACACAATCTGGATAGCCAATAGAGCACCGGATTCAATCCTTCCGCATGGAGGGTATCTTTTCAAGGGCTCCTTTAAGGCAGGGCTCTATAGGGTGTCCTTTAGGGGTTTTGGGTAAGGGCCTTGTTTTTCCCTCATTAAGGCTCTAATGACTGATAATTTATGGGTTTGGCACCGAAATTTCGGGCAATTTTGAGCCTGAGGGTTTCGGAGTGACGGGCATAGGCTGACAAGAATCCCAAACTGCAACTGCACCGAAGCGTAACCCAGCAGAACGGCCTCATATCCCGAGGGTAAGGGTTTAGTTTAGGGCTGACGGTTGAGGGTTAGAGGCTTCAGCATTTCGGGTTTTAGGGGTTAGGGGCGTGCCCGTCCATCATTCAAGGGCTCAAAATTCTGGTCCATGAGGATGGACAGCTTCACCCAATGCTGCCGCCCCCTAAAAAGCACCGAAACATAAAAGACATACAGAGAGTTGGAAGGAAGGCCATTAATAAAGTTAGGGATACCCTACCCCAAAATTTATGTTTGGGGCTTTTGTTGTGGTTCCTGACTTGATTGGATTCTGGGAAGTCGGCTTGCACGGTCCGTCCCTCGCGAGTCAAGAGTTCATGATTACATGGACACCTTATTCTTATTCACTCAAAGCTCCTGGCAATGTGTGGTGAATCTGGAAACCCGAATTTGAATTTCGTAGGTGCTTAGACTAGGACGCTTTTGGATAGCAATCGTCGGAACAAGGACCAAGCGACATAGGATTGCCACAGTCTTACCTGTCTGAAACCTGTGCCGGTACTACTCAACCAGGACCACTTAATCCCAAAGAAAACTACTTCAGACGGTCACATGCAATCTGAGGCCGAAAGGCACGAAGCTGAATTCCACGAAGCAAAGTGTAATACCCCGAGCCGAGCAACACAAAGACCCCTCAAACCCGCCGCCCTGCTTGTTTGAATGTTCCAACCTGTCAAAAACGAAAGCGGCCCTCAAAAGCTGTTATCAGGACACCACGAAAATCCTGAAGCCTACACGCGACTTTCTGAACCCCGACTAGAAACTCCCTCAGCACCGAAACCCTAAACCCCAAAACCCTACACCCCAACGCCCTAAAACTTAAATTCCTAAAACCCTAAACCGTAACACCCTAAACCGTCACCTAAACCCTAAACCCAAACACCCAAACACACTGAAACCCAACGCTCTAAACTCTAAAACCTAATACCCTAAACCGTCAGACCCGATAAGCCCTGAAACCCATTCAAACCCTGAAACCCCAAACCCTAAAACCCTAAAACCCTAAACCCCTAAACCCCTAAAGCCCTAAAACCCTAAACCCCTAAAGCCCTAAACCCTCAAACCCCAAAAGACCATTCCTTGAGCTTCGCGGGCAGCTTGGGGTTCTCGCTCGCGTGCCTCGGGCGTCGTGGAGCAGCTTGGAACATCCGGGGGATTCCCTGGTTTCCAGAAGGCTCCATGTGGGAGTTTCCGAAAATAGGGGAGCCTAATATAGTACCCTAAGTAGTAGGATCCCTATTATAAGGACTCCCAAACTAGGTACCCCCATTTTCGGAAACTCCCATGTACCTTTATAGTAGATACTTAAGCCTTAAAGGGGTCCCTATATGGGCACTTCAAGGCCTAAGTATATACTATATGGGTACACGGAGCCTTAGGGTTTGTAGGGGCATACCTAGACCTTGAAGAACCTGCCTTTTCAGGGTTCCCGATTAGGGTTTCCTTATATAAGTCCGTAAAAAGATATGTTATGTGGGGTTAAGGTAGGGTTTAGGGTTGAAGGGTGATCGTTTAATTGGGGCTTAAGGGTTTAAGAGTGTGAGGGTTTGAGGGTTCGAGGCTTTAGGCTTTGGGGTTTCGGGTTTGAGGTCGTATGGGCTTGGTGCTGAATAAATAAGGGTTTTCGTAATAGTAAGGGTCCCTCTCGGAAATCAAGAATTACGATCTAACTTCACTTAGGTTCCAATTACTGTAGGGTCTATTCAATAGTTCCAATGATTTTGAACTGGGACCGTTGAACTTTGCATGCGGGTCCCAAAGACAGCGCACTTACGCGATGGTTAGATGCGCTCGTAGGGCGCTGCCGCATACATGAAAGTAAAGCCCCTGATTCATGTATAGGACGTCTGATGTGAGGCTTCGTGCTGCAATCCTTGTAAACGGAGCGGGCCGCCCTTCATTACCGTGAGTGTCCAAGTACCCGTATGTATACTCTGCAAACTAGTGCCCCAAACTGCTACTCTTACTTGTCCGGTATCATAGGTGAACTGAAGATTCACCTCTGGGATCGGGATTATAGTATCCCAAGAAGTTTATAGGCTTCCCTAAACCCTGAACCCGTAAACCTGAAACCCGAAACCCTAAGCCCTTCCTTAACCCTGAATAACCTACCCTTTTGGGGTCCTCTATTACGATTTCCATATATAAGGCATTAAACGGTAGGTTATTCCGGGTTAAGGTAAACCCCAAACCCTCCGGAAGAAAAAGGAACCCGTCGGCCCTGGGTTAGTGTTGGGGAAAGGAGGGACACTCCATGAAAACCCTTACCCTATAATGGGCTATATAATGTGTGTATAATAGCTATATGAAGGGTATATACCTAGGGGTCCTTATTAAGCGGGGAGGGGTGTGGGTTGAGAGAATCAGCTGCCGGGTTCAAAGAGCTTAGGATTGACGATCTGAGCTGTGGGCATTTGACCTTGTAACAGCTTAGGGTTTAGTAGGGTTTAGGGTTTTCAGGCTTAGGGTTTAGCTGCCGGGTTCAGAAGCTTAGGATGCACGATCTGAGGTTAGCGCATTTAACTTTGCATTGTAACATAGGGGCAGAAAGGTCTGAACACTTGCTAGCATAAGTTACTACAGGCTACAGGTCTTCAGGCAAAGAACTTGGAACGCAAGCTTTGCGTGACAGCTTAGGGTTACGAGCACCTTCCCTAAGCCAGTGCCAAAAATGCTTAAATTCATACATTCACGCACGCGGTGAGAAAGCCTGCTTCGATCCACCATTGAACCTTCGGGAAAAGGGTTGCCGATGTCAACCTCAAAAGTATGGCGCGAGCCCGATGAAATCCAAGCTCATGCTTCAACAGACCGATCTAAACAAGCCACGCACCCTAAACCCTAAACCCCTTTTTGTCGCCTCTCCGCGGAGCACGCGAGGGCTTTTGAGCCCCAAGTACAGCAACACCCTAACGCCTTGAACTCCGAGACTCCTCACAGCCGAAATGCCTCCTTGTGCTGCAATACGGTTGGTGATATGAATCCTGCATTACCTTAAGGACCCTAAACTATGGGGAATACTGGTATATTCCTTATTATGGGTAGTGCAGGATTTGTATCATCAACCGTATCTCATACCTACATTGAGCCAGGACTATAGATGTTGATTCTAATTTCTCACGCCCTTACAAGACAAGATCTAAGGTAAACCCGGATGCCGCGGCTAAACGAGCTGGCCATCACACCAATCACAGGGATCCTCCACTGAAAGCACCGAGTCCTTCCTGACAGCTGAGGCCCAAAAAGAACGCTACCTATAGTCTCCATTGTAGTTCCTTTTCTGGGTTAACCAAAATCTCTGTTGTAGGGTCCTAACCATAAAACTGGTTAACAAAAAAAGGAAATACAATGGAGACTATAGGTACACGTTAAGGGACTGCAATCGTAGATGTACATTTCTGTATCAGCACATCTTCCTATCCACCTCTCCAGGTATATGTATAAGCTATGTAAGCCTATGGTAGAAGCCAGAAAGTTGGAACATTAGTATCCCCATGCCCTTAAGGTAAAGGATAAGGGATCCTAGCACTAATCCTCCTAAAGCCATGTTCCAACTTTCTGGCTTCTACTGTATGTATAAGCTATGTAAGCCTAGGGTCTAGGGGCGAAACTCCGAGCCCGACTGCAAACACAACCGTCAAGTCCTAGCACGCAGGGGCCTGAACTAGAGCAAGGCTCGGGGGGGTATATTCCCAGAGACTCCAATATCCCTCAATTAAGGAATATACCTTAAATTATAGTAGGATCCCTTATATGATTTAAGGTATATTCCTTAATTAAGTGATATTGGAGCGGTTTTCGGGAAAACGCCCGGAATGCACAGTCTCCAGTATTCGCATAGCGTTCCCGTCATGCACCCCCACCAAAATCCTTAATCCAGGCCTTATTTATATAAAAACCCATGAAGTCACTTGACTCATTCGGGTCAGGATCACAATGTACAACAAACAAGCAATCATTGCCGAAGAGATCATCAAATCGAGACATCTAATCTAACACTGACACTCTGGCCTCCTCCGACCCAGGAACCGATATACCACACTACCATGTTCGAAGGGTTCGGGGACACTGCCATATGTGTAGTGGTTGGGGAAACCATACCACTGAAGGTCGCTTGAGTCCTGTGAGCATGGCACTAAGTGTCTTGAATGTAAACAAACTCATCAAGCCAAGCCAAACGCACCAAGACCCTTGATGAGCACCTAGACAGCTTCGCAGCTCCTTATTAAGGAGCCAGACACAAGAGACGTTCAGAACCCAAAACCCTACGCTCCAAACCCTATAACTCACACTCGAGACCCGAACCCTGAACCCTAGACCCTGAAACTTGATGCATGCTCGGTGTCCAGGGTAGTTCCAGCTTCCAAGAGTGGAGAAACATGCGGTGGCACCCACCTGGGGTACTACAAGGATTACTCCAGGAGTTAGGGTCGTTACGCCTTAAGGCTTTCGTAGGGCTACTGTAGGTGGTAGCATACCTGGAGGGTCGGGGGACCTAGTAACTGGTTATTTTAGGGACGTAAGTACCATAACCCCAATTAGGGTCCCTTTCAGGGTGCTTGTAAGTCTACTTACTACCTACTTACTAAGTCCCCCAACCCTCCAGGTTCAAGTAGGGGTTGCTGTAATAGGGCTACTCTACTGGTTACTATGATGCAAACAACAAGGATTACTAAGGGGTTTACTCTAAGGATTCTATGTGAAGGGTGGAAGGCTTGCTCTAAGCATCGTAACCTGCATTTCCGTAGGGCCCAACAGAATTGTATATCTGGGTCTCATCGCATCCTCGCCAAGAGGTACTGAGGCTCAAGCAAACGTGTCAAGAAAAGGAGGATGGTGTACAGCTCAATACTTTGACGGTATAGGGTTTGCAGTGCTATTCTAACCTTTAGTCTGCATGGAGGGTTGTTCATGCGCGGCGGCGTCCTAAACCCTCAACCCTGAAACCTAAAATGTCTGAGTGCCAATCCAGGAACGGCAGTGAGGTGGGGACTAGGGTTCGGAGTTTACAAACTCGAGGTTGCGGCTCGGCTTTGCTACAGGGTGCCAAACACCAAATGCGGTTTTTACCCCCGGGCAAGCATGCACTGCTTCTGTACTTGTAGTCTCCTAAGCTTAAACCTTAAAGACAACGAAGTCTTCTAGAGGAGCCATTTTCGAAAACGCAGCGGGCCGAGCCCACTAAACCCTGACCCTACACCCGAACACCCCAAACCCCTAAAATCCTAAACCCACAGCTTTTGTAAAACCCTATAAAAGCAAGCCCGACCAACCCTCTCCCCACCCAAACCCCAAACCCCATCATGTTTAAAAGGGTAAAAGGAGGGACCCTTAACAAGGACCCCAAGGTATATACCCTTCATATAGCTATGATAATCCCATTATATAGGGTCCCCATTAAGGGTCCCTCCTTTTCCCTTTAGATTGTTAAAGCCCCTGGAGCACCTCGTAGGCCCCATGGCTGCCCGGCATAGGAGTCGTCACCCAATACCTCAGACGGGTTTAGGGTTTAGGGACTTCCCACAAAAGTTCAGGGTTTTGGTGGTTTTAGGGCTGTAAGATTTGGATTATTTTTTGGCTTTCGGATTTGCCGGTTGAGCTTCGGAGACCTTTCGAGATTTACGACTGATGGAATTTAGTTCTAGCTTGGCCTGGTTTGTGGGTAGAAGATCCCAACATTTAGTTAGGGTCATTTGGTTTTCGGGGGGTTTAGGGTAAGGTTTAGGGTTTATGGTCTTTATATTAGATGTGATTTAGAGTATCACAAAACCAACAGCCCAAACCTGTGTCTTGAGATCTCCACCCACACCCTGATGCACAACTCTAGAGCAAGGGTGTACGTTTAATGCTAGAGTAATAGGAATCACAGATGCTCCATTGGCCTGTGATGCTGGGGCGTCAGGACTTCAAACCACCCCACAACCTACACCTGCAACCATAAACCCTAAGCCCTAAGCCGTAATCCTTTGTTGATGCTTGGTCGCAGGGTGGCCGGCGGCGGCCAAGTGCACACGAATCTGATGCCGGCGGCCCGTCTTGGGGCTAACCTGCAGGCTTATTGGGGACAGAGGTAAGGGCTGGCCAGAGGCAGAACTTATAACCTCCGCCCAAAACAAAAATCCTTCCGGTGGCGGCCCATGTACTTAATTATGTGGTGTGTGTTGGTCTTACAGGATTCCCATGCAGTAGCCTTAAAGACGACAGTCTATGCTATGTAAGCTAAGCCCGAAACCCAAACACGCTGCAACTCCGGACCAACATCCCGACCTTTGCACTCAGGATGAAAAACAATTAAGGCCCTTATAAAGGTTCAAGCAGGTTATGAACATATTCGGGAACCATCAGAAAAAGTGTATCTAATTGTTCAAGCCCCTGTCTGAAATTCTTACAAACCCTTTCAAATTGCTATCCGGCCCTTGTAAATCCCTGCGCAGAAAACCGTGTAAGAGCCCAGATTAAACCTCTGTATATGCCACTTCAACTACATGTTTAAAATTTCCCTACACCCCAAACCTCTAAATCCCTACATCACTAGAGGAACTTTAAAAGCCCTTCAAAAGTATAAGTAGGTAAGATCCTCTTGAGCCCCATACGAGCAAATATAAACAGTCCCAAAGCCCTACCTAGATTAGGTCGCTGGGCCCGTCTTTGGGATTCCAAACCTCGACCAAGGAGGCAGGCAGCGGCTCTCGCGTCACTTCCTCGCCGGCTCTCTTAACACGCGTTCTGGTTTAGGGTTTAGAGGTTATACCTAGAGGCTCCATAGTAATTCCTTTTTGGGGTTCAGATATAGAATCCTATGGAGCCTATGGGTATATTTATGGTTTATCGTATACCATCATGGAAAGGCAACCCTACGAAATACTATCACAGGTTTCAAGCACCTTCTAGTCGTGGTTTACCAAGTTCTGAACACTATCCTGGAACTGTACAGTTTACACAGGGCATCGGGAGCTGTGTGGAACAACAACTCATGTTACAGGTGACTGGGCTTCTAGGACAACCTCGAACACTTTTGTCACTTCTGAGTTATGCGTTACTTGCAACCAGCCCGTAAACGCCTAAAGCCCCAGTCCAGACCGCTAAATGCCTACACTCTACGTTCCATAAACGACTAAACCCCCAAACCCTGAATCCCTAGCCCACGAAGCTTATATAAACCCCTAACAGTAATCTCAGTAGTACACCTTAAGGTCTAGCCCTAGACTTAGACAAAAACCTACACCCTAAATCACATCCCAATACCCCCCAGACACCTGAAGCCCACTACACCTTAAACCTCATCGTACCCTACGCAACCCATAAATTCTGAACCAACCCTTATATCACACGGGTTTAGGCTTTAGGGTTTAGGGGTTTAGGGTTTGGGGTTTAGGGTTTAGGGTTTAGGGGACCCCACATTCCATACTTCTCGAAATCGCGGCCTGCGGGCTCCCTTCGCCACAGCCGCCGAAGCTCGCTTGCCAGGGCTTCGGGGGCCACAGGCCCCGTTTCAGCACCCGAACCTGGGAGATCGCGGACAAGGATGACGGTCCAAGGCTTAGAATGTTTAGGTATTACCCTTAACCCGGAATAATCTACGTGTTTATGGACTTATGTGAGGAAATCATAATGGAGAACCCTAAAGGGTAGGTTATTCAGCGTTAAGGTCGTGCTTAGGGCTGTAGGGCCCTTGTAGGGTTTGGGGTTGGCAGTTTGGGGGTCTATAAAAGAATGCTAAAACCCCCAAATTCATAAAACCCTAAACTTCCTAAACGTTTAACATAAGCCCTTATAATGCCCAAATCATGTGAGTGGTGAATTTTTTGTCCACAGTCTTATCGATGTGCCGCTGGCAAGCCGATTGAGGGCCTGGATTTTGCTTTGTCCGTCTTGTGCCCTGAAGAATTGACAAAGCACCATCCCGGCTTTCCTCTCCCCCCAACTCAAGAGAACAGGTCCTTCGAGGTGCATCCACCTAGAGGCTCCATAGGAGTTCCTTTTTGGGGTTCATATATAGAATCCTATAAGGTAATTCCAAAAAGGAACTACTATGGAGCCTATGGGCAGGTTCCAAACTCTGACCTGGTCCCTCGTCCAGCGGTCTAGGTTCCTGAGCAGCCCCTTTCATAAGAAGGGTGCCCTTTTCCTGCTATTCGGTTTTAACAAGGGGACGCAAAAGGGTACTACTCAGGAATCTAGCTCATTCGAAGGGAACTTCATCCTGTCCGGTTCTGGCAGTCATGATGCCTCTTCTCGTCCTCTGCCTCTTCCGATTCTCGCTCTTTTGAGCCTGACCTTGGTCAAAAATTCTCCGAGCCGTGCCCCGCCCTTCCCCCCTTCGAGCCCTCCCCCTGCAAAACACACTCGCGCAGGCGCGCGCGTGCTCGTGCGTGCTCGTGCTTGCTGGCGCCGTCGTGGACAATGCGCTCTTTGCCTACGATCGACAAAATAAAAATGATACTAATATTAATAATAAAAATTTAAAAATAAGAATAATAATACAATATTGTTGTCTGTCTTCTGTCAGCCTCGTCCTTGAAGCTCGACTGCGGCATGATCCAGGCACTAGTCACTTAGCCTCGTCTTGTAAGGAGGTCATGACGCTTGATGAGTATGTGCTGTCTCAATAGAAGACTAGACCTAAGAGTAACCTAGGAATAAAAAGGGTTCCCTTTGTGGTTTAAAGGGGCTTATAAGGGAACCTGAACCCTAAAAAAGGGAATAAGGGCCTACTCTAGGTCCTAGAGAAAGGCCCAGGAAGCTCCCTACAGACCATACATATACACCTATAGTCTCCATTGTAGCTCCTTTTCTTGGGGTAGCCGGTTTTATGGTTAGGATCCTATAATAGAGATTTTGGTTAACCAAAAAAAGGAACTACAATGGAGACTATTGACCCTACAGACCATACATACCCAGAGGCTCCATATATAGTAACATCATGGAATTAGGTCCCAAAAGACCATCCATAACATGGCTTTGGGGACCTAATTCCATAATGGTACTATATTTGGAGCCTCTAGGATATATACATATATATATATATATATGTATACATAGCAGTACATACATGAAAGCTATATAGATAGATCGATAGATGGATAGGCAGATGCCTCCGCAAATCATGATTCTCCCATTGACTGCGACTGCAAAGGAGGCATCTGAATCTGCACAGACGCTCCGTGTGCTCTCTATAGCTCTGCAACACAACGTGCTTCACACTATAAGTCCCGTTTTGGGAACCGAATGCATGTCTTGTCTGGACACTTACCCTACGGCCCGACGGCTCAAATGTATGGTCTTCCGGCCCAGAAGCCTAAACAAAAGAGTCCTTAGAGCCTGGGAGATGCATATCTTGACTGGGCACTTGTGAAGGAAAGGTTCAAACAAGTTTTCCATGTCCCTCGCTCAGGGCTGAACCCTAAGCCTAAACCTCTAAGCCCTAAATGCTGGCATGGCCCAGCACTTCAAGCACACTATCTGAAGTTTTAAGCGAAAAAGCCGAAAGCCCACGTAACATGGAGCGACATGAGCCAAAACCCAAGGAATATTCACATCTTGTAAAGGGGCAGATGTCTCCGCATTCTCCGTCGTGCGGCCAGCGGTGTTCTCCATCATCGGATCCACAGCCTTTCTCCCAAAGCCAGAAGTGTCCATAATGCGGTAGTTCAGCACAACACCTCCGGTCTGGTTGAGATTTATAGCTTCAGGGTTTCGGATGGTTTCGGGGTTTAGAGTTTTGGGGTTTGGGCGAGGGGTCTAGAGGGGTTTCACTTAAGTGCTCAGGGCTTAGAGCTCTTATAGTTTAGGGACTAGGGCCTCCTGGCGGAAACCCAAGGACCGAAGGAAGGCAGCTTTCATACCCCGAAGGCTCTAAGGACTCAGAATAACTATAAGGCTTGTGGGCCTCAAGACCATACCATGCAAGCCTTTTGAGTTATTTTGAGCCTTAGGGTATCGGCCTTGGTAGTGCATGTATTCTGCTGACTTGATCTAAGTGTTGCAGGTGCGAAGCAATGGTCGGCAAGAATCTTTCGGCCTGCACATACGGCATTCGGCAGGTTGTGAAACGGCATCTTCGCTACTGCTTCATATTTCATTACAAAGCCCAGCACAGACGTCTGATCTTCTCAGAAGCATATACAGGGCTCGACCCGGTGTAAGATTCTGTCAAACCCGCACCGCCGTCTTCAACATGATCACAATGTACACCACAACTGCCAATCGGTAGCTCTCTAAATTACCGTTCTAGGGTCCCTGTTATTAGCCTCCGCACTCCTGAACTCAAAGAGAGAAGATCTCAGGCCGGGCCCACAGCGAATCAAGATAATTTAAGGCTTAGGGCTTAGGATCATTTATGGAGGTTAAGGGTTTAGGGTTTAGGATAATAAGTTATGGGGGTTGCAGCTACTTGTTCTGCTACGGATAATGCTATCTACTTCTGGGATGCTCTGGTACTACCTCAATTAATGTTGAGTGTGTCAGATTGCAAGAGCTTTGCTGTTGAGATCTCTTTCCTGTCTGGTACCCCCAAGTTGCATGTTTTGGGGCTCCTCGAAAGGTTGCGTTAATTTCAAGGTTATAGACCAGCTAACAGTCAAGGAGCCTTTCTCCCAGCTTGCTGGAGGATGGCCAAGTACCTCGCGGCCGCATTCCCCAAGCTGTAACACCGGCTTGCAAGCTCCTCATCGGCCCAAAACCCAAGGAAATAAAAGTTGAAACTTTCAAAGTTGAAACTTTCAGAAACCATAACCTTATAAGAACCCCAAAAGTTGGAAAGTTGAGTTTACAGCCAACAAGGCTCGGAACTTGAAGAAGGAGCCTGTAGAGTCCGGAAAAGCCAAGCCCGGTCGAGGTATAGAACTTGCTACGGTTGATGATATAAATCCTGCATTACCTTAAGGACCCTAAACTATGGGAATTATGGTATATTCCTTATTATGGGTCATGCAGGATTTATATCATCAACCGTAAGTCCCCAAATCCTGCATATAAGGACACTGCAGGGATTCGATCCCCATGAGCGGCAATCTCTGATTAAAACAGCATGTGCGCTCAACAGGCTGGCGACTTGCGATGTGTCTAGGGGCAGCTTTAGTCTTTCTGGCCTTGCATGTAGAGCTTCGCAGATGTAGGGCTCGGTAGAAAAAAACACATACCAAACACTCTCAGGGGCCAGCGCGAGGTAGGTCTTCAAGACCCGGCGTTGCTGGAAAAGACGAGATGCCTTCCCGGCAGCCTGGCGTGCACCTACAAATTCATGACTGAATAAAGCAAAATTAAGGGGGCTTAATGACTGGAAGAGCGTTTTGGATTAATTAGGTTTGATTCAAGCTAGACATAATATGTATGATAGGGGATATAAAACATGTTATTCCAACCGCTATATATTACCTGATATTATATATCCCCAGCGTGGGCGGGGTCGAAGCCTCCTAAACTTACAACACTTCTGCTGACTCTTCACTTCTGCAGCTTCGTGAGACCTCGTCGAAGAGGATTTTCGCGCCTAAACCCTAAACTCTAAAGACCTGATTACCTCTTAAAGGAACTACATAAAAAAAAACACTATATTTAAAAGCCATAAAAAGGTAGGTCTTTTCGGCTACAGGTAAACCCTGAACCCCCAAACCCTAAACTACTCAAAGGTGGAATGCGCTGCAGGGGGGCAATCAGTCACGGAAAGCAAGGCCTCGCGGCTTTTCCCGACCAACATGAGGCCACTGGTAGCAAAGTCGAGACGGTTGCCTGGGACACCTAAACCCATAAACCCTAACCCATCAAGCCTAAACCCTAAACCCTGAACCCGAGCTGCCACGAGTATTAAGGCGCCTGGCAACCTGGTACTTCTGTAATCTTAACTCGCAGGGCACAAGCTACCCCCTGAACTGTGCACCCTTAAACTCTGCATTTGTCGTCTCAGTCTCCTAGACTGAATAATCGTAGTTAGGCAGCCCTTGAAATGGCGGGTGTCTAGCACATCCGAAATGCCTTCTCATGTATAGGTTCAAAGGCTCGGGACTGTGGAGGTGATGTCTTAAAGAGATTTCGGTGCAAGGTCGTCTGGAAGAGAACCCCTACAGCGGCCACAGACTGGTGTAAGGTTTTCTGCATCGAGACCCTAAACTACATCCCGTCATGGCCTTACCCAAAAGACCCAAACCCTTCTGTCCTAAGGGTTCTGTGTGCTTTACCCCCTGTATTGCATCATAGCCCTGTGTGTTATTAGCTTTGCAATGTACTCTCCCCTCCGGAAGGAGAGGAGATTTGGGCCCCTGAGGCACATGCTAATGTAGGAACCTGATTAAGAAGCCTTGGGCCTTGATTAGGGTTCCTAATATTGCGATCCTATTATTTTGGGGAAATGGGCCCCATCGGTTTCTTAATCAGCTTCCTACATTAGACTGCTAGACGAGACCAGCAGCACATCCGTGGCCGGCTGCCCTCGCAGATTTGCCGCAGCAGATCGTGGGCCGTGAGCTCCTCAGGCCACGCCCGATACCTCGCGCGCAGAGCCCTAGGCCCCATAGTCGTTTCTCTTGGGGGGTTTATATTTAGAACCCTCTAAGGTAATCCAAAAATAGAACTACTGTAGGGCCTATGCGTAGACCCCCACCTCTCCCTGAAAGACTGCACGGCGGGCACCAAAACCAGCATGCATATACATTCTATGTATATACACATACACAGACAATCATACATATACACATGCATATTTGTAAAATTGCACTTGTTGTAACAATATAGGACTAGGCCCATGATGGATGACGTACCTTGCTTTGGGATGCGAAGAATTGAAATATTTGGATGTGTAAAGGTCGCGGGCAAGACTCGCTGAGGCTTTGGGAGGGCTTGGGGGGGTTTGGGGTTGAGCGGTTACAGCCCGGCCTGGGTTTATGAGCTAAAGGTTGACCTTTTTGGCTACATAAGGATTATATAGGGACTATACTACCCAAAAAAGGTTAAAGGCTACCTACCCTACTAGCAGGTGAGTTTAGAGCTTAGGGCTCAAAGGTTGACTTCAGGGTTCCTAGATCCGGAACAGTACCTAACATCGAGGGGATTTGTGGATGGAGGTCTGCGAAGGGTGGGCCTACCTAAAGAGAATTATGCGTCTGCAGTTCTTCTGGTTTTTGCTTTTGCCTTTTCGAACTTTACACCGAGCAGAACAATTAGAGGTGCCACAGCAGCTTCCGGCTTTAATGGTCGGGGATCTCGAAGCTAGCACAGACTGCCAAAACCGACGTGTTGTTGCCAGCTAGGTCCTTGCAAATGGCTGGGTTTAGATCACGACATACTCCGCCCTCCCACAACCGCGAAAAGAGCCTGGTAAAACTAGCAACCCCCCCTGTAAACCCCATCTGTATGAACCTCCCTACACCCTGTTCACGCAGCACCTGCTGCCATCCCTGATTCAAAGCCCCCCTAAACCCTAAACCCTACACACCCTAAACCAAAACCCTAAACCCTGAACCCTTAACCCTATAAACCCTGAACTTTTGCTGCTTCCCTATCCGAGGGACTGCTCGCCCTCCCTCCGCGCCAGGTATGCTCGCATACCCCAGGGCTTGTGGACGGCAAGGAGACCATCATCTTCCCACAAGGCCTCTTTGACAGGGATGCTAGGTTCCTGAGTAGCCCCTTTATAATAAGGGAAACCCTCTTTTTCATACTATTCGGTTGTAATAAGGACCTCCAAAATTGAAGGCGCAAAGGAGAACTACTCAGGAACCTAGGATCTATGTTTCGGGTTTAGGGCTTATAGCCACCATCTTCCCAGAAGGCCTTTGAAACAGGGTCTCAGGGCTAAAGGTTTCAGAGTCTGCGCACGGAGAAGGATCATCGGGGCACGGCGCCCGCGCGCAGGAGATCCCACGAGACCACGACACCACCCAAAGGGGGTTTCAGAGCTTGGGAACCGGATTTCGCGCCTTTGGGCTTCAGTGTCGCCTTGGGTTGAAGAGTTTGCCCGGCTTGGGCCCATGAAGGGCTTCGGGTTTAGGGTTTAGGCTTTCAGACCTGGCTGGGAGGAGTATAGCAATTTAGCTATAAGCCTTTGTTCCGATTCGGGGATGTCATCAGTGCCCTTTAGCTATATAAATATGGGCCTTCACACGGACATGATTCAGGTCAGCAGAAATCAAGGCCTTCACGGAGTAGTCGAGAAAGACCTCCGGGAATCTGGCGCAGAGCTCCGTGAAACTTGAAGAGCTCATCGCCGCCTCGCGATGGAAGTGTCGCAGCTGTGCGATGCGAGCCTGCTGGCAGAAAAACGTGTCTTGGGCTTGACAAAAAAATGTATAGGGCTTGAGTTTCCTGTTGAAGTAGGTGTTTGTGACTGAGGCTATGTTTCCAAGGTTTAGCCAGATCTGACTTCTCCTGCACCGATAATCCACATGATCCACATGCAAGGTTGCAGTCACAAGACTAGGCTGTGGGCTGGCAAGGCCTTGTGCTCAAGGAGGTGTGGCAGGGTTCGTAGTTACTTCACAACAGAACCTGAGAACCCTAAACCCGGGCTTGCAAGTAAAAGATGCTACTGGGAGCGTGGGCTGCGATCCTAGGTTGGCTGCATCTGAACAATTAATTAGAATAGGGTTTGGGATATTGCATAGGATACATACGTTCTTTGAAAACGCACCAGGAAGCCTCTGCATCCTCCAGCACTCGATCTTCATCTACTCGGGGCCAGAGCCGCGCCAAGCCCTCGGACACTGGCTCAGGGTTGTATGGTCTGAGGTTCAGGGTTTAGGGTCGCAGATCCCTGAAACCCTAAACCATCCTAAAACCAAAGCCCCAGGCCCACACAATGCTAGAGCTTGCAGCTTTGAACCCAACCACCTGAAGCTTAAACCCAAGATGTGCCCTCGGTCCAGATTCATAAACCTTGCATCATGCATCAGGGGGCCATGGACACAAAACATCATAAAACCATAAACCACAATTCTCAAACTCTGAACGCCAGGCTAAACACCAAATCCTTAAACGAGGCTCTAAGAACATCTCGGCATCCTGCATCCAACACCAAAAATTCCCATCCCTGCTAAACCTGAATCCCCAAACCAGACACACTCTAAACCCGGAAGCCTGAAAACCGCAACCCTTTAACCTATGTAGACACTACAAACCCACAAACCCCTGCACAGCCTTGTGAGAACTACACTCAGCTTTCAGAGCAACTACCCTTAAAGGCCCTAAAGTAGTTCCTTTTTGGGCTTCATATTTAGAATCCCGTTAGGTTATCACAAAAAGGAACTACTTTGGCGCCTATGGGTAGTAAGTCTAAGCCCCTGTAAAACCCACGAAACAGCAGAGTCCAACAACAGCACCGATGACGGGAGGCCAAAAGGGGGGGTTTAAGATTCTTGGGGTGGTAATCCCTGCTAAACCCCCAACGGCTAAAACCCCTTTTGGCCTCCTATGAGTAGACGCCTTAAAGCCTATAGATCCCTTAAAGGAACCCCTTTTAGAAACCCCTGTAGATCCGCTAAAGGACCCAGAGACTCCAATACCCTTTAATTAAGGAATATTCCTTAAATTATAGTAAGGATCCTTAATATGACTTAAGGAAAATTCCTCAATTAGGAGTATTGGAGTCTCTGGGACCCCTTGGCGGGTCGGGGGCTTAGTAAGTAGGTAGTAAGTAGATTTGTAAGGTTATGGTACTTATAAGTCCCTAAAGTAGCCAGTTACTAAGTCCCCCTAAACCCTAAACCCTTATAGAATCCCTATAGATCCCTTTAAAGGGGCCCTTAAGGAAACCCCTTATAGTTACTAAGTCCCCCGACCCTCCAAGCCCCTTTTATAGAAATCCTACGAACCCAACAGCCGGCCTGGTTCAACAGCTGGAGGCCCTTGTCCGTCAGCCGACAGCCCCACCCAGCGCAGGCTTGCTCCACCTGTTCGGCTTAGGGTTTAGGGTTTAGGGTTCAGGGTTTAGGGTTCAGGGTTTAGGGTTCAGGGTTTAAGTTTCTTGGCATAGGGGCTTCGGGCGCTTGGGGCCTAGACTATTAGAGATTTGAGTTTGGGTTGAGGTGCAAGGCTTCGGGTTTAGGATATGTTACAGCCCACTAAGGCAGGGAACGGCATAGCACAAGGACAGGTGTGTCCGTTCCTCCGTTGGGTCCGAGATCTTTTCGCAACACCCGTTGCAAGATTGTAAGAGAGGAAAGCCTAGAGGCGAAAACGTTGCTTAGTTACTGGTTGAAACCGCTTATCGTGTTGTCTACGTGCTGCATTCCGGGCGATCCGAGTCACACTGCAGCATGACCCGCGACATTACATGGCCCACGGTGTATGTATATGTACATATAAATATGCGTATGTACATGTGTCTGGCAGGGTTGTGTGAGGTTTCGAGGATTACTTGGCCCCTTGACACTTGGCCCTGCTGAGGTGCCATGACCTCAGCTGCTGGGGTGTGAGGAGCCCTTACTCATATTCGAAACCACTTTTAACCCAAACTACGAACATGAAAGTCTTTTGTAAACGGAGTTTTCGGATAGCATGGGGGTTACCGTAACCCAAAGAGTCCAAGTACCTACTACGCATTCACTCTCCGAAGTATTGACTTCCCAAAGAGTCCTAAACCCAAGGACCTAATTGCCCGATACTATGGACTATGGACGCTTGACACACCCCTGCAAGCCTAAAGCCATGTAAAGCCCCTAAATCCCTGATAGACTGCCTTTCAAACACGTATAGAACCCTGAATTAGTGGACCATCATTTTTAATTTCATAGTTACTCCAAAGCCCAGAAGGTGTTCATAAGGCTCTGTAGGACTCCTAGTTACTCAGTTCCCTGCGCCCGAAGGAATACAGTCTTCAGGCCTTACAGGGAACTCCAGAAAGTTGGAATATGGATTAATGGTAGGATCCCCTATAATTTACCTTAAAAGGGTTACGATAATGATATTCCAACTTTCTGGCTTCTACTGTAGGGGGTTTAGGGGTTTAGGGTTTAGGGGTTTAGGGGTTTAGGGTTTAGGCTTTAGGTTTCGTGTGAAACAGTAAGGACATGTTGTTAGCCCACCTAAACCCCCTGCGATACACCCTTAACTCCAAACATAAACCCTGAATATCAAACCATGACCCCAAAGCCTAACACCCCAAATCCCGAAATCCATTCCAAAGCTCTTTTGCGAGCCCTTCTAGAATAGCATAAAGAAGCCTAGACTGTAAACCTTAACCCTAAGGCCCAAAATAGCCCAAAAGCCTTATATAGTATGGTCTTTGGGCCCAAAAGCCTTAAAATATGAGTCCTTATCACCTAAGGGTAAACAAAGCTACAAACCGTGGGCCTTCTCCACAAGCAGCGCCCTCGTTGCTTGCTGTTCTGGGAGCGACTGTCTTGAGATGCGCTGGACGCGGCCTCCCCAGAGCCAGGGGCGTTCTTAGGGGTAGAATGGACACACAGAAAGTCAAGATGCCGATAAGTAGGGTCTAGGCTTTGGACTTTGGACCACTAAGGGTCAACCTCTTACGGGCCTCATCCCACCTATGTTGAAGAATTCTGCGTACTCGAATCCGAACTGTAGCTTAGGCTACAGGGTCTCTAAACCCTTGGACCTCAGACATTAGACCGCAGATTAAGTCAGCGCCTATCAGCGGATGTTGTGACCTGTTCCGGACTTCAAATATTTCAGGCTTTAAACTCGGGGCGGCATACTTAGCAGTGGTAGGTATGTATGTATGTTTGGATGTGCTAATATGTGCATATACATTATATATATATATATATATATATATATATACATGTGGGTGGTTGTCAAAATTAAGGTCCCTTTTTGGGGTACCCTAAATATTAGGTGCCGCATTATAATTGGGACCCAAAAAGGGACCCTCATTTTGACAACCACCCATGTAAATAGATAGAGTCACTGTACCAGGACCCTCCTTGCACCCTCAAATAGGGGTATATGGTCCCAAATAAGGGGCATTTAGGGGTCTAATAGAGGGTAGATGGAGGGTCTAGGTATCTTACTCGCACTATAGCACAACACCCCCCAAAGCATTCCCAAACCGCTATCCGAACTATCAAGGCGCCTAGGAAGCATAAAATCATTCTAAAACCCCCCATCCCGAACCCAAAACCCCGAACCCTAAACCCAAAACTGGTCCAACCCTTAACCCTACAACCCTAAACCAAAAAAGAAAATAACACCTACACACCGTACTGCTCGATCTTCGGTTTCGGTCTATCGATCGACAGCCCAAACCCTGACGGTCCAAGTACATAGCTATCATGTACTCTCCAAAATGGTAACTTACACAACTACTACCCTAAACCCGAGTACTTAATTATTGGGTCCTTTGGACCCTTAGGTTAGGGAAACCGTGGCTGCCAAGCAACCTTGAAGTTTTTTGTGAAACGAGGGACAGGCCCAAGGTTCAGGGTTTGGAGTCTGTTTTATGACATAGCTAGTGTTAACTTATAGTGTATCGACATCACTAGTGAATGTGAATAGCGTTATTGCGGTGGGTTCAGGGATTGAAGAGTTCTACGCTTTTTTGGATTCGGGTTTGAGGCGTAGGGTTTTGGGGTTTTCACACCAGGACGATGGGCCTGTTGCTGGCGCGCTGAAGCATCTCAGGTAGCATGGGCCCAAGCCAGCGACAGACAGAAGGATGCAGCACAGGCGGCTTCCACGACCCATGGCGGCATGGATCCTACGTGGTAGTTATGTGACTCGGATCAAACCCTAAACCCTCTAGATGCAGCTGAAGGCCGTGTTTACATCGACTAGCTCCAGTAGCCCGTGCAACGTCTCTCGGGGGAAGGTACGGGTCCTACCAGCGGTGTACTACGGTATAACACTCACAATAAGGATCCCTGAGGACAGTATTACTCACTACCCGGGTTTCTGGATTGGCTTTTGGACCGTCTGAAGAGGCAGGCATCCATCAGCCGTGCGTCTTGGCCCTCCTGCAGGGTACTGAGAAGACACCACACACAGATATTCCTGCATAATTGTACCTACTTGTCCAGTTTCCTCGGGAACTAAGGGTTAACCTTTGGGAATATACTAATATTGGGATGAAAACACAGGCCTTATATATATAGTACCCAAAAAGGTCAATCGTAACCTACTCGACGACTACCAGGATTAATACTGTAAAGTCTTAGCCGGAGATCTCCGGTTGTAGGGCAACCGTCAAGCCAGAAATGCACCACCGACGGTTTAGGGTTGGTTGGTTGAGGGTTTAGGGTTTAAGGTTCCTGAAACTTTCGCGATTTGAGTCTTCTGAATCTTCGTCTGAACTTCTCGTTCCTGCGTAGGGTGCAGATCCGAAAGCCAAGGTGCAAGGAGCATTTCTTGGAAGACAGATTTCTATGCAGCAAGCGCCTGCTTTGGGACTACTCAAGAAGTCTTCAGACAACGTCGCAGTACAGGAGTGCTTATAAGCCCTAATTAAGCAGATCCTTAGACATTAGACCCGAAAAGCTGCAACAAAAAACTAAAAGGGGCCTCTCAGGAAGCCCTTGGGGGCCAGATGACAACCAGGAGCTCAAAGGTCCCTCCACGACGCGTGCTCGACTCCCTTCAGCTCCTCCTCACCTGCAGGACCACGGTTTGCCCCAAAACCATCATTTGAAAGTTCTTCAGCAAGGCTTCCACCACCTCCAATCCTCCGCCAGCGCAGAGTACGCGACGTCCAGCCCGTTGCTGCCCCCAAGCCGGCGCAGGTTCAATCGGGCCGACGGGGGCATCGTGCCGCCTACTTGCTGCCGGGCCTTTGGGACTGCCGGGAGAGGCGCTTCTCGCCAACGCGGGCGCTGTGGTGCCGGTGAAGGCATTACGGGGCCCTCGGCGGGGAGGGATTTGCCAGGACAGGAGCCTGGTGTAGTCCGGCCCCAGATTTACCAGCGCTTGGCGCAGGAAAGGAGCAATCCCGGGGTGACGAAGGGTTGCAGATGGTTGCAGGGTTTAGGGTTCAGGGACTAAGCGTGTAGGGTTTATAGGGTTTAGGAGCGCGCTTTCAGTGTTTTAGGGCTTGAAGGTTTGTAGGGCTTCAGGCTTGTAGGGTTTGCAAGAGTGAGGACTTGAGGCAAATTGACATGGAATCGAGGAACCACACGTCTGTGCTACCCCACCTGAACTTGTTAGAGTCCGGTTTTCAGCGGGCACCAACATGAAGTCCGAACTCGAGTTTGTAAACAAACGCCGCAAGAGCCCGAAACCCAACCCCTGAACGCCTACCTATAGTCTCCATTGTAGTTCCTTTTTTGGTTAACCAGTTTTATGAGTAGGACCCTATAATAGAGATTTTGGTGAACCAAAAAAAGGAACTACAATCACAATGGAGACTATAGATAGACACCAAACCAACAGGAGATCCGACACCACACTCTCTGCCGTTTGGGCTCTACACACTAAACACGAAGGAATCCCGTGCAACCCTTGCCCTTGTAACCGCATCGTTATGCTCTAATTACTCCTGAAAGAAATCGGGATCCGTGACAGAAAACCCCGGTGAAGGAATATTATTGGACCCTCTGGTTACTCCCTACACCAGCCTTCCCCTTAACTGTGTGGAAGAACTCCCTTACGCGATTAAAGTAACAGGCTCCGGTCCGAACTAGGGCAACGACCCCCAACCAGGCCACACCGCGTCCACTTGCTGCTCCTGCGCGATCTTGCCTCGGTGTTTGAGGTCTTAGGGTACCAGTAAGTAACGTGTTACAAGGGTCTCAACGGTTTAGCTACAGCCTTCGTTGGTTCATACTGTTGATGATATGAATCCTGCATGACCCAAAATAAGGAATATACCATAATTCCCCCTTTATTCCTTATTATGGGTAATGCAGGATTTATATCATCAGCCGCACGTCTCCGAAGGGTTTTGTAGGGACAGAGAGTATGAGGCCGTTCAGGGCTTCAGGGCTCAAGGCTTACGGGTCATTGCGGTGGTTTAGGGTTTAGGGTTTAGGGTTTAGGGTTTAGGGTTTAGGGTTTAGGGTTTTGGGTTTAGGGTTTAGGGTTTAGGGTTTAGGGTTTTGGGTTTAGGGTTTAGGGTTTAGGGTTTAGGGTCATTGTTCTGCGCCTAAGACCTTCACTTACTCAATCCCCTGATCCTTGAGTCCCCTAGCCCTAAACCCCAAAATCCTAAACCCCGAATATCCGGATACCCTGATCCCTTCAGTGCATCCGGAGATCCCGCAACCCAATCATCTTTTGCGTCTCTGGGGTATGTTAGACTGGTGCAATCGTTTGGATACTTGAGAGGCTCCTTTATAAGTCCTTTAAGGGTTTTTTCGGGGTCCTTTGAGGATATCTTGAAGGTCTCTGAAGTTTCGACCCAAAGCTACGGTTCGCGGTTTAGCGTTCAAGGGTTAGGGTTTAGCGCTCGAACCTTAGGTCAAGACTGGCTTGCTAAACGAGCCTGGCTACTTCATCAGTCAATAGCTCAGCCCCGAATAACTTAAAACCTGCTTATAAAGTTTTTGAAACGCATACATCGAAATCAGGAATTAAGGTCCAAGTACGGCTTAAGCAGTAGTTAACTAAACAGCCCAAAGTAGGTCAAATCATGGCCTGGACACCTTTAAAAGGCTATTTGTCTACCTACTTCCGGGGTCCAGAGTCCAGGTAGCCCTTTTTGAGAGTTTCTAAACCCTAAACCCTAAACCTTAAACCCTAAGCCCTAAACCCTGACCCTCTGCAGGTTGGCGCTTTAAGGCTGACCTTCAGGTAGGTGATCGAAGGCCAGCCTCGCTGGTGATATTCAGAAGCCACCCTCGGTTTAGGGTTTAGGGGTCCTGAATCCCAAACCCCCAGAATCCCCAAAACCCTGAAGTCATCTAGAATCTAAACTATACCTGTAGCCGAAAAGACCAGGAACTGTATATTGAAAGCATTATAAGGCACCCTACACAGGTAGGTCTTGTTGGCTACAGATAAACTCTAAATACTAGACCCCAAACCCCAAAAACTGTAAAGCCAAAACCTGAGCCCAACCCAATCTCCAGCGAAGCGCTGCACCGCAGACTAAGCCCCAAACCCTTGTAGCTCCCCTCGTATGTGGTTTAGGGTAGTAATATCCCGAAGACTCCATGTACATAAATCGTACCTCTTTTGCAGTCGTTAAACATTGCCTGCTCTGGTCTGTTTGGAGTCTTATAGGGCCACAGTAATCCTAGCTAAACCACTACGCTGCAAACCCTAAACCCTAGCTAAAGCCATGTCTTCTCACTGGGCTGCAAATCCTAAACCCGAAAACCGGAAACTCGAGCTAAACGCCATATTCTCTCTTGGCCGCAAATCCTAAACCCTAAACCCCCCTTGCTAAACCCATATCTTAACCCATCTTCTCACTGGGCTGCAAATCTAAACCCTAGCTAAACCCATCTTCTCACTCTAAACCCTAGCTAAACCCATCTTCTCACTCTAAACCCTAGCTAAACCCATATTCTGACTGGGCTGCAAATCAGGTCAACATTGGCATAGTTGTTCACGTTCTTGCCAGACGGCACCTTGTCGGACGACCGGCTGCAACTAAGGGTCCTCTAAACCTAAGCCCCCTAGCCCTAAACCCCTACAGCCCTAAACCTTAAACCCTAAACCCCTAAACTCCAAAACCCCTAAACCCTGAACTCAAACCCTAAACTCTAGACTCTAGATCGAGTCGATAAGTTTCAGAGTACACCGACCCTAGGGCTTCACTGTTTTGGATACAGATGCTATCCCAAAACGTCCGAAGTACCGACATGGTACGATGAAGGGTTTCAGCAAAAAGGAATCATGACTAAGATTTGGGAAAGGCTCCCTCATGACAATAATTACCCTAGGACTTTTTGGCTAATTACAAAAGAATGCACTGCTGCGCCTCAACGAAGGCATCAGCCAGCCGAATGAACTCGGCATTTGCGTTCAAGTCGTCCTGCCCCCCCAAACACCAAATCCTAAGCCCTAAACCCTACACCACCCTACATCCTCAATCCCGCCAGAAATTTTGGTCATATAGGGTACTATAATTCTAATAAGGACCCCACCCAAAATCAAAATAGTATTGGTAATTATTGAGGGCCCCTGTAGTACGTCCGCCTTTAGGGTGCGGCGGGGCGCTGCACTTATAAATCCCCACACAGTTGGAAACCGGATTCAGGCCAAATAGTGCTGGGATTCCATCTAAAGTACTCTCAAGGTTTGTAGGCCCTGCACCCCTACACCCTACACCCTAAACCCTAAACCTTAAACCCTCAACCCTAAAACCCTAAACCCTAAACCTTAAACTCTCAACCCTAAACCCTCAACCCTAAACCCTGTACGATCTAGGGACGGCTTTGGGATTCAGGATGACCCTCTTTGGAGGACTATGCGGGCCCCGGTTGATAATATATAGGGGCCCTTCATGATTAGACTAGGGCTCCTTTAAAGGTATCTACAAGGGCCACAATCAGAAAAGGGCTCCTTTAAAGGGATCTATAAGGGTTACTAAAAAGGATCCATAAGGGTACTGTAGTATAGGGGCCTTAATAATTAGACTAGGGTTCCTTTAAAGGGATCTATAAGGGCCAATGTAAGGGATCCATAAGGGTACCATTAGTATAGGGGCCTTAATCTAATTAGAATATGGTTTTGGGGCCCATGATACTATAACTACAATAAGGAACCCCTCAAAATAGTATAGGCAATTACTCAGGTCCTTATTGTGGATAGGGAGGCCGCAGAATGAGTGTGCTTTCCTGGTGCTTTGGGCTTAAACGGTGCAGAGAAATCGCTGAATCTGGATTCCACCGTTGCAGCCACACTTACAACCTGTGACCGCGACTTTGAAAACACCGAGCCCTAACGACCCTGTAGGGAGCTTGATGCTAGAGGCCCAAACCCGGAACTCCAAACCCTGAACCCTAAACCCTCCGGTTTAAAGGAGGCTTTCATCACTAGCCAGATGACTGAGCTAGGTTCCTCAGTAGCCCCTAGATAATAAGGATACCCTTTTTCTTAATATTCTGTTGTGCTAAGGGGACCCTAAAACAGAAAATGCAAAAAGGCACTACTCAGGAACCTAGTGAGTCACTGAGCAAGAACGACCTACTTCGAGTTTCGGCTTTAGTAGTTTAGGAGCATTGATAGAAAAATGAGGGCATTTGGCGTTGTTGTAGTAGAATTCAAGCACCGAAACCGACTGGTTGGCCTAATCATTGGAATGGTGCTTGGGTGTAGTAGTAGGTTTTACTACCATGATAATGAGGAGCGCTAAGGAATGGTATTTTTGGTAAGCGGTATGGTTTGCAAGGCATAGAGCTCTAGGCCTTCAGGACGTTGGCTGCGCTCCTGAATCCTACGCACCCTCACCCTCGCTAGTTTCTTGGGGGTTCAGGAGCCCTGGCTGGATAACCGTGAGCATCAACTGATCAAACTCAGCAGGCGCGCATGGAGGAAGCCACAAGCACCTGTCCAGCTCCGTCCAGGGAAGGGGGCCAACGTCTCCTCTCCGCAGTCCCTTCTCTTGGCTCCCCGTTGTATTAGCCCAGGCTTGCCATCAAGCTTGTCGGTAACTTGTACCCCAACGAAGCTGATGCCATAGCATCCACAAGGGACGCAAACAGCGCAGCCAGGCCCGCAACTCCTTGTCTTGCAAGATTGGCCGAGTGTATGACCTAGGGCCTGGGATCGGGGCCATTTTTGTGCCAATCTCCTGAAACATTGAGTGCAGCTGGCTGAATCGAAAGCCAGTGCAAGGCTTGAAAGGAGTTGCTGATAGATCCGACGACAGAAACTAGAGGGTATTGGGGCTTAAGGCTTCAATCGCCGCATCTTGGGGCTTTAAGGCTTGAGGGCCTTCACGACCCCTCATCCTCTCGATTTCGGGCCTTCATGTCAAGGTTATTTGAAGTTGAGGAGTCATCATAAATAAGGTTTTAGGGCTTATTGTGGGTTTTAGGGTTTAGGGTGTATAGGACTGAGAGTTTATCACAAACGAGGCTTCAGGGCTTAATTTGGGGTTCAGGGTTTATAGGGTATCAGGGTTTATAGGGTCTAATGCTTAGAGTGTGGGTTTGGGTTCAGGGTTTAGGGCTTGGTTTAGGATATGGGTTGGGCTCTGTACTATTGCTATATTCCGAAGGAATAATGCAGCTTGGTTTTTGCGACCCTTGGACCTGTAAACTTCATCGTAACTTAAGCCCTGAACCCTAAACCCCTGAACCCTAACCCGCAAACCCTGGGCCTGTGTTGCCATGGCCACAAAAGTGATGATCTGCTCTGATCCAAACTCGATGAAGGTCCACCTGGCGGCACTCTGTCCCTGCTGCACAGAAACTCCAGAAGCACGCAGAACACACGTGTCCTGACTCTAGTTTAAAAATACGTAGGTCCTTCTCTGTTGAGCCTTGGGAGTGTCAACACAACACTGAACTCTGAAAGGCCGTAGCTTACCTTTGGTTAGTAGGGAATGGAGGAATGGGGACAATTATAACTACTCTTACTACCATTCTTCCATTCCCTTCTTACCAAAGGGAAGGAAAAGGCCTTCGAACGCTAAGTCCCAGCAGCCTAGCTCTCCGTAGGCCTATGAAAGATCAACCCATCTTACTGCTCTGATGCTAAACCCTAAGGCTCTAAGGGCTCTTGTTTTAAGGCTTTTGGGCCCAAAGACCATAGTATGTAAGGCTTTTGGGCTAATTTGAGCCTTAGGATAATGTTCTGCTGTGGAACTTTCTGCGAGCTAACTGCTAACACTCACGTGGTCCAAAGCAGGTACCATCTGCTGACTGTACATCTCGAAGTGGGTACGATGTCTGCACCTGCTGCCTTATGCAAAGGTAGAAGGACACAACAACTCGAATTGCCCAGACCTTCCCAAATCCGTGAAGTAAGGAACAGAACTTAAATGAGAATGATTAGGACCAAGCACAGCACTGCAGGCTGGGCAGTGACTTATAGGGTTCATTCAGGGTGTGCAGGGTTCAGGGTATCGGGGCTTAGAACTTCAAACGCCTCACACAGCGACCCAAGCAGCTCTGCGCAGGCCTTCTCATGGAGAGGATGGCTTTGACAGCCGCCATTCCATTGTTGGAAATCAAGATCTCGCAAGGACAGGAGATTTCGATTAGTAGCCCAGATACCTATTAGGTTTACTATCCTGAGACCTTGCATTAGGCCCAAGAACACCCTATGCCCCGATAAACATGTTAAAGCCCAATGGCTTGCTGAGCGGAGAGACTCGGTGGTTTGTCGATTCGGGATATAGGCTTTGGCATCGCGCGCCACATCATAGTAGACCCCACTGCCGAGCTCACTAATAATAATAATAATAATCATAATCATAATCATAATAATAATAACAATAATAATGGGCAAGTGTATAGAATTGGGACCGAAGCTGCCTGTTGTAGGATTTCTGGGATCACAATTACGACCATCTCGGAAAGGCTCGCTTTAACAAAAAGTGTCACTGAACCCGAGAAGCCCTAAACCCAAACCCGAAGTAGGAAACGGGTCGAGGCCGCGGTGTGCACAAATAAGATATCGTTGCCGGACCGAATTGGCTGTTTGTGCTCTCACTTTTTGAGGTTGAGTGTTTTGGGGCTTGCGTAGCGAGTTGGAACCGTGTAGGGTTTTCGGCTGTCTGGTAATTTGGGGCTGTGGGGTTTGGTTTGATCTTTTGTTGTTTAGGGTTGTTTTGGGTAGAAGCAAGCTTTCAGAATGCCTCACCTGCACATGCAGGTGTCTCCGCAAGCTGGGCCCATGGAGGGCCTATGCGAGAAAACCGAACGGTAGCTATCGGTAAATGGTACAGCAAACCCTGGGTCCTGAGTAGCTATACGGGGGATTCTTACACCAACTGTAGAACCCTTGGTTTCTACTATATTGGTACTTAGGACTCCACGGGCTGATGAGTGACGATCGCAAAGCCCTAAAGCTCCACAGACTCGCAGCAAGTTGCCCCTTGTCCCAGAAACCACATACTCTTTGAGGGGTATGGGAGTTCTCCAGGCTCAATGTCAGTCTATCATTGTGCCGAAGCAAAAAGCCACGAACCCGACACCTCCTGACCCCAAAACTAATCCGAAGCGGAATAAGCCTTGCGGATCACCCGCTTGCCCTGCCGCTCCTGTTCGCAGACTCGGGGTGTCAAATGAAAGCACATGTGCTGTGGAGTGTTCCACCCTGATTGGAAATTGTTCTGGTGCAAACCAAAGTATACACTTGCCAGGGGGGACACTCTTACCAACAATGTACCCCTGTAAAATACTCAACAGGCGGGGTTGTGGGGTCCAGGTAAAGGTTTCGGTCTAGGGAAGCCCGGAATGCAAGCTGCAGGAAACCGCAACTCCAAACACAAAGCCCCTGACCCTATGCACAACTCTGAGCTTTAACCCTACAGCACTGAACTTCTAGGTTGGCCCTTGAAGAGCCACTGAAACATATTCGTGAAGCAAGGTCTTCCGAAGCCATGCCCCAAAGTCCTAGATCCCTCAACTCCCAAGCCCCAAAACCCTAAACCCTGCCCTTAACATCCCTCATCCCTAAGCCCGTAGACTCCAAACCTCTAAACCCGAACCCCCAGACCCGAAACCCTAAGCCCCTAAATCCTAAACCCCTTATAAACCTAAGACCCCTACACCACACTTAAAGAACTGCGGGAGCCCATCCTCCGACCTCAAAATCAGAAGTTTCGAGATGCCACACTTCCTAAGCACAACCTCAACTAGGGCTTAGGCTTTCGGGTTTAGGGCTTCGGGTTCAGGGTTTCGGGTTTAGGATTCAGGGCTAAGGGTATCCTAAGCACAACCTCAACTTTTGAATCCGATGCCCTTCACCTGCGGCCCTGACAGCTGTAAACAGTACCTGCCTTACTTTGTTACTACCTTGAGGTCTGGCAGTTCTGCAGGCCTCAAGGGTGAGCAGTGAAACAGCCTCGACCCCTAGGCGATATATCTTCACATGGCAGTTTCCGAAAATAGGGGACCCTAACAAAGTACCGTAAATAGTGGCATCCTCATAATTATAACGACCCCAAGAGAAGGTACCCCCAATGTTCGGAAACTCCCACATCGATAAGCCCGCCTACACCGAAATTCTGGAACCCACACGACTCAACAGTCATTCCCAGCACCCGGGCACCGGAAGGCCTTGACATATGTAGCCAAGGGGTTGAGATTCATGGCTGTCCTGGGAAAGGTCGTTGGCTCCGAGTTTCGGCTCATATGGCAATCCGACCTCCCAGTTGAATAAATCACCCACCCCCTGCAGCAACCCTCAATGCACAAACGGACATCCCCCTGTATGTACACGCACACATAAATATCTACATGCATGTATACGTACATACCTACATATGTATACACATACGTGAGGTAAGGACCCCTCTTTGAGACCCTATGTATCGTGAGGCGTCTTATCCCGTCGATGAGAAACCAAGCCCTCAGTTCCGGAAATGCGAAATGTGCAACTGGATCCATTGTATTGAATGAGAATACTCAAACTCGTACATCCCATTCTTGTACATTTTGCAAAACCTTGTATACTACAGTATAGTACATTATGTTACAGTTGGTATACCCAGCCTTTCCTCCCCCAGGGCCCCGGCGAAGGCTTGTTGTTGCGTCGACGTCACGACAAAAAATTCCGAAAAGGCTTCGGCGACCGCAGACCCAGGTGGCTCTCAATTTGGAAGACGGGTCTAGGTTTAGTGAGGCCCTTCATTCCCCAAGGCTCCATGTGCCCATATAGTATATGCTTAAACTACCTTGAAGAGGTTCCTGCATAGATACTTTCGGGCCAAAACTCACAGTAAACTCTACAGTAGAAGCCCAAGAGTTGGAAACGAAATAGCCTTAATGCTTAAGAGTAATGCATAGGGAATCCCAGCGCTATTTGACCTTAACCCGGTTTCCAACTTTATGGGCTTTGCTGTAGGACAAGAGGGTTTAGGGTTTAAGGGTTTAGGGTTCAGGATTTATGGGCCTTTAGGTTCCTGGGGTTAGGGTTTGAGGCTTTAGTTTACTGTAGTATGCCATGTCGGCCCATGACGTAGGCTTAGACTTCAGGGCGAGGCTGCTCCCTTGTCAAATCCCGGGTTTAGGGTTTGGAGTTAGGGTTTGGAGTTTAGGGTTTGAGGTCTGAGGTTTGGGGTTTGGAGTTTAGAATTTGAGGTTTCGGGTTCTAAACCCAAGAGTAGCCTAGGAATAAAAAGGGTGCCCTTTTTGGATTAAAGGGGCTTATAAGGGAACCTGATCCCCCAAAAAAGGGAATAAGGGCCTACTCTAGGTCCGAGGGTTTAGGGTTGGGAGTATTGGGCCGCACTTGCTTTCAAGACTGTCTCCGCCCTGAACGAATCTAAGGATCTCTACCTTTCCACAGGCATTGCTCTATACAGCTAATCGCCCCCCAAAACGGGTCCCTTCAAACGATGCGCCTACACACTACCCCAAAATCCTCTGCCAACGTATTAGAATCTCCGACCATGCAACTCATGTTTCCGAGATACGTAGACACTAAACTCTGCATCCTCCAACCTACGAGGGCGCTCACATAGGGTTGAGGGATTGATGTCGGTTGCAAAAACCGTCTTTAGCATAGACTACTACAGAGACTTTGTTACTGCGAGTACTGCTGCTGGCTGCTTGTAGTTCCAATTGCTGAGCACAGACGGAAAATAGTTAAATCGATACATAACAGTGATGAACACATATTAAATGTAAGCATGCATACATATACATATTTGTAGATGTAGATGCGGATGTAGTCGTAGATGTAAATGCACATGTATATGTACTTGTATATGTATAAGTCTATGTATATGTGATATGTATATATATATATATATGCCTGGTAAGATATCTGTATATACGCGCACCTGCCCTGTGTTTGATTTGTTTGAGAGCTAGTTGTATATATATATATATATATACACATACATTTGTACTTGTGTAAACTTTGAAATGTATGTGTATACGTATACGTGCGCAGCAATGCCACTTTTTGAAAGGAGTGAAAGCGCACTTCTTATCATCTCAGCCGATCCGGTCCAAGCATACGTTCATGCGAGAAAACTCAGATGGAGTGGTTGACTAGGTTCTCGAGTAGCCCCTGTGTAATAAGGGTAGTTTTCATCAGGGGACGCTAAAACAAAAAGGGCAAAAGAGTACTACTCAGGAACCTAGTAGGCCCCAAACCCATACAGTCCCTTGTAGAGCTCTTTAAGGAACCTCGGCGTTGCCTAGATTATCGTACCCCATGGAAGGATCGGTGACAACCATGAGACCCTGTCGATGGCCAACACGTCCCATGTTTCCATCGGCAGAAGCCGATCTTCTTTCAGTTTTGGGTATTAAAGAGCAACATGCCCCCAGGACTGCAAGTATATATACAAGTAGTACCTACTTCGGGGTCTAAAGTCTATAAGTTTTCCCTACTTTGGCCTACGTTACTAAAGGATCTCCAATGCTCGAAGCGGAGGGGCTTTGGACCGGCCTTGGGAGATCTGGAACTAGCTTCGCGCCGCGATGTGTCCGGGGATTTTGGTCGTTGGTAGGTGCTGCAAAGGATTTCTGCAGACGTCATTCCCCATATTGAGTTGTTGGAGATAGATACCCAAGATGACTTTGAAAACCTTTCAAGACAGCTGAAACCAATGGGTTCAGTAATGATTATCAATAAGGAAGGTCCAGGGAAGGAAGACGGCCCTGGTCAACTGCTTCAGTGCTGTAGCTGCTGAACCTGTATATTGGAACTCAATCTATGACACAGCAGCTTGGTCTATAACGTTTGGGACAAAACGTCACGACTCACGTCAGCCCTTCGACAAGCATGCACTTACTTCACCACTACCTCTTGGCATGAAAAGGCTTACATCAAATCGAAGAAAAGTACTGACCCAATAAGTCCAAAGGTTGCGCAGTGGAGAATGGCTGCACCTGTAGTCTCCATTGCAGGTCCTTCTTGGTTTAACCGATTCCTGTAACGTATCTCAAAAAGCAACCATAATGGAGACCGTATAACGTTGGCCCCAAGTGCTTGTTCCTAGGCGAAACTGCCTTCCTGCATTAATCTAGAAATTGCAGGAACCCTACGAAAAAAGCAAAGGCCGGGATGATACTTAGAAGGAGATTCGGGGCCTAGCGCAAACAGTATGCTGATATTATTGAGGGGCTGCAAGGGATAGCCTAAGTATGCCGACCCATGTGTTTCTTGTGTTCTCGGGTCTGATGGGACAGCCCCAAGGCACCTGAGAATCCCAGAATGTTGTATTTGTGTGTACCCGAAAACTTGCCCCAACAGTGGATTGTACTAGTGTAAGTGTTCGGGGCCTGAGTGGTTTTTCAGCTCACTGGGCACGTACATGAATGTGTGTATGTGTATATGTGTATATATGCATATGTATATATATATATATATGTATATATACATACATAAACACAATATTTATGCCTGCGCATGCACGCATGGTATGCATGTATATGTATGTAGGCACGTATGTATGTATGAATGTATATGCATGAGTGTATGTATGAGTGAATCTGTCTGTATGTACATATGTACGTATGTTATGTGTGTATGCATATGTAGATGTATATATATATATATATGTATATGTTCGCATAAATGTATGTGCAGATGTATGTGTATATGTATATGCATGTATGAGTATCAGTGTAATTCTGAGTGTATGAGTGTATGAACGTATGTAAGTACGTAAGTATGAAGGAAATGTATGTTCGGGCCCAAACAAACCCCAAACTGAACACACAAGCTTGCAAGCCCCGGCTGATAAACACCCGCACATCGCAGCTCGGGCAAGAGTTGCATGTGCCGTGGCACAACAGCTCACTCATTCGAAGATGACGGCCCGTGACCTTGGGCAGCGGGCTTGTGACTGCTGTTGCCCTGGGGGTCTATGTGCCCCATGTTGGCCCTAAACAGGGACTGCTTCATTGCAAGAGAATGAAATTAATCACTAGGCATGGACCCCCTTCATGGAGAAGACTTGCAGAGAACATAATGAGTTTTCCGCTTTGGTTAGGAGTTTGGGGTTTATGTCTGGGACCCTGGGACATGGATTAGGTGGTCTGATCAATCGCGTGTGTTGCGCTTCATCACAGGACTGTCACAGGACTACATCTGCAACGGGAGTCAGCGAGAGCCCGGGAATATTTTTCAAAGAAATGTGTAACTGGTGCACGCGCATGCATCATGGCCCCGGTGCCATGCAGCTCGTGTGCGAGTTATAGAAACTTCTGCTCGCACTGACATTTGATGACACGATCGGTGCGTCTAAATCTGCGCAACTGGCATGCGGAAATTGTCAGACCTGCCGTAAACCCCACAAAGTTAGAAAACTTGTTTAAGGCCAAATAGTGCTGGGATTCCCCTATACATTACTCTTAAGGATTAAGGCTAATGGGTTTCCAACTTTTAGGCTTCTACTGTACCCATAGAGAAATGAATACCTTATACGGTATCCATACGCTGCACTTGTAGTAACGGGCATTATACGTCACAGCCCCAATACAGTCGAACTACACGGCCCACCCCCCCTTTCAGAATACTATCAAGGATCCGTCTATTGCACCATGAACCCGAAAAAACTAGACCTGAGCTAAACCCTATGAACCCCAAACCGTAAACTCAACTTCCCCAGCCCTAAACCCTTAAACCCAACCCCCAAACCCTGAACCCTCAAAACCCTAAACCCCCCACCCCTACACCCCCAAACACCGAACCCTAAACCCCCAAACCCTAAACCCCAACCCCCCCTCAACCCTGAATCCTAAACCCCTAAACCTGAACCTCTAACCCTGAACCCCTAAACCCCTAAACCCTAAGAACCCTCAAAACCCCCTAAACCCTCAAAAGCCTAAAGCCTAAAAAACCATCCAAACCCTAAACCCTACGTAAACCCTCATAACCCTCAACCCTAAACCCTCAAAGCCCTACATCCTCAAAGCCCTGAACCCTAAACCCTCAAAGCCCTGAACCCTCAAAACCCTCAACGCCCTTACCCCTCAACCCTAAACCCTCAAAACCCTAAACCCTAAACCTCAAAGCCCTAAAACCCGAAGAAAATGGACCCAAGCCATCCTCAGAGCAGCACTTCAAAGGCACCGCTTCCTCTTCGGCCTTCGCTGAAATCTGTTTCGGGGCTTTGGGTTATTTTGTTTATGTGCAATGGCTTCTGGGGTTTAGGATTTGCGGGTGCAGGATTTAGGGGGTCAAAGTGCTGAAGTTTTGAAGGCTTTGGGAGTTTAGGGTTTTGAGGGTTTAGGGCTTGGGGGTTTAGGGTTCAAGGGTTTAGGGTTTGGGAATTTGGATTCATGTTCTGGGGCTTCTAGGGTTTAGGCAGGCTTTTTGCTCAGGGTTGTGGTTGAAGGTTGAGAGGGGGGTTAAGAGTCCAGGGTTTAGGGATTCAAGAGTTCAAGAATTGCTGCTTCTTTCCACGGTGTTTATCCTTGTGCGGCTTACGGTTTTAGCTTAGGGCTTTGGGGTTGAAAGGGTATATGGAAGTAACCTGGTGCTGCATCCATTGAACCAGCTTTTGTTATGTGGTGCCACCGAAAATCTACATACACACTCCTCCGACCGTACTGAACCATTTTGATAAGCCTGTGAAGGGCAACAAGCCTGTACAGGTCATAACCACCTCGCCCAGGGATGTGATCCGGCTTAGCTGTGAAAGCTTGTGGGGCGCGTGGTTGGTATCCGGAACTTCACTGCATGTTCTGCTTGATCCTTGTTTCTTTCGATCGCGGTAGACAGACACCTCAAGACAAATTCCCTAAGTGCCCAACATACCCTACGAGACCTGAACTCTGAGCCACGAGGAATCTGTGGCAGCCTCACAGCTTCGCATCATTGACATTGATCAAGTAATGGACCCTACACCCTTGGCCCACAGCCAACATAAACAGAGCTAAGGTTTGGGGTTTAAGGTTTAAACATTCAATGCATTCGCAACCCCCCCGACTGAAGAGGGCCTGGTACCGCGGCATCTCGAATGTCTCTCTCCTTCCCACTGCTGGAAGTTTGGGAGCGATTTGGAATGGGGATTGATTTCGCGTGCGAGGTGCACATACAGCCTATACCCTCAAGGCCAAACCTCTAGGCCAAAACCCCTTACAGGTCGGGACGGAGTAACCCTACACCCTGCCCCAAAACCCTCAGGCCTAAACCCTAGACTCACTGCGGGCAGCCGTGGGACACGACAGGTTGCAGCTCGTGTCTGTCAGAAGACGATGTGTTTCAGTTGAACTCCTTCAACCCAACCGGGCTTTGAGTAGCTCAGCATGTTTACTATACCTACCTCTAGTTTCCATTGTAGCTCCTTTTCTTGGTTAACCAGTTTTATGGTTAGGACCCTATAATGGAGATTTTGGTTAACCAAAAAAGGAACTACAATGGAGACTATAGGTAGGCCATCCTGATAGTGCTACGTGGATGAAGTATGTATGTAGGTAGGTAGGTAGTACCTAGGTATGTTGGTAATTCTGTGTGTATTTACTTATGTACCTGGGGATTCCTTCGGGCTTTAATTCTTGCCCGCCCTTCTTTTCTGTTCGCTTGGTTTCGGTTAGGACGGTTTGGGACGATTAGTTATGAAATCGCTCGTTTATACAATTATTGCTCGTTTAGGAAGAAAACAGCCGATCTTGACATGCTCATCTGATGTTCAATGATGCTCTTCATCATGGAGAACGACTATCAGACGTCGGATTCTCAGCTTTTCTCAGCATCCTCGGAAGTGCTGCTCGCGCTGCTTCTCAAGTTGTAGCTTATAAGCACCCAGCATTTTCTGCATGGTGCGAAACGCACATGAAAGAGCATGGGTCCCAGAACGTCTTGCAACACGACTGATGCGACCGATGAAGTCTTCATCCGCCCAGCAGGCGGCATCTTAGTGCAGCACATGCAAGCAATAACGTTTGAACCCACAGGATCTGGAATAGCATAGCATGCATGCAAGTGTTTCAGCACCACACTCATAGGATTCGGTGCCCTGATCTGCTTTCTGCCACACTCGAGTAGCGGTATCCTTGGCTAATGTAGTACAGTCGTTGCTGCATGTTAATTTTGAAAGTCACAGACCGCGAACGAATGATTTGAAGCCGAGAAACGAGAAATGCTCCTGCATGTGCAACTTCGGCCGTACTCGGAACAGCCGAAAACCTCTTGCTTTGGATGCCCGTGCAAGGCACATGTAGCCAGCCTCGGTCGAGTATGTATGGCCTATAGCTGCTAAGGCAGAGGGGCTGGAACCAATCAAAACTATATATGTTCCGTGCTCATGATGCAGGCACATGGCGGTCATCTCATGACATAGCTGCCCTGCCACCATACATGCAGAAGGTGCCAACCACAAGCCCTCCCGGTGAAGCAACCGAAAATAGGAGTTGGCACACCGCACAGTGTACACCAGCATGAGGAAGATATCGTCAGTGCATTCCTGAGTATATATCGGATCAGCTATCTTAAGTAAGCCAAAACCTAGCAATCCTAGCAGCTGTCATTTGCGCATGCTGTTTAATGCATGCAGCTAGGATCCATCGTTCCCAAGTAATCTTCCAGCCATGATGTCATGATGGCCGTGTCGGCCCCCCGGCCACCAGTTGCGGTTGGATAAGCTGTGGCTTTCCTAGAGTATGCATCGAGCAAAAGCATAGACCATGCATGCATGCACGTATACATGCAGGTGTAATGTTTCACCAAGCATCTTTGTCATTTTGAAGGCTGACGGGGTAAAGGATCTGATGTTTGTAGACTTCTGATTTTCATGGCACCAAGCAGCATAGTGGCCATAGGCTCTCGTCAAGCGGCTTTGCAAACCTCTTCCACGAATAAGATTCATCTTGCAAAGCAGAACCAAGCCCGAGACCACAAAGTCTCGCCCCACACTTAGCTAGAATACATGCTTGCATGCACATGTAAGACTGAGCCCAATAGACCGCTAGACCAAGCCACCCAATATGCCATGTGTGGGCAGGGTCCACAAGAGCTCTGATTGGATTCGTCATCCCAGGTATGGACCACATTGGAGAAGAAGTATCATCGCGGAAAGGGGCCGCGCTCTCATCGAAGCGCCAGGGTGCACTGTCGGAGAAATCATACCACTCCTCGAAAGCAGCATGCATAAGCTTAAACCCGTCCATATAATCCAAACCCTTTCGCCTAATAGTGACCAGGTTTAACGCCTTAGGGGTATATGCAAGTGCAAGTCAAGGGTCTCGACTGCTGCAGAGATGGCACTTTCTGTTGCACTGCCATCCAGTCTTGAGGGCCATTGCCTAGCTGGTAGAATGCATGGCTTTATGATTTCGTCGTGTAGTGCAAGACAGACCATGAAGTGGAATTGCTTTACCCGGTGCCTTCCTCAAGTAGACCCAGTCGCCTTTGATCCCCACCATTGCAAAGTGCAGCTTGATGGGCCCGGCCGGGGTTGAAACCTGAGATGCAGTTGCATGCAAACGAGGTTGGGCGTTTCTTCCTGGTCGACATCATCAAATGGACACTCTTGCATGCTTATGTTGCAGCTATGAGCAGTTATGCCATTTGTGTAAAGGTCAGCGAGGTCCTTGGCAAAGGCTTCGTTCAATTTGTGGAGGGTGGAGTCGCCCCAGTAAAGTTCTGCTGGCAGCACAGCATACAGAAAGCGAGTGCAGTAGGAATGCCTTGGTTGCGTGAAACTTTTGGGCACCAATTAGCTCGATCAACCAGGATCTATAGCTCATATGGAATACTGCTCCAATAATCATCATAGGCACCCACTGCTATTCTTGAAGCCAGGGCCCTTGAAAGAAATATAGGGCTGCCACCCTTCCACCATGATTGGTAGTTTGTACTTGCCACGACCTTCGTCACCATGAACGTAGATCGGGATCGTGTGTGAAGGGACAGGTGCCCCTGGTCCGTTCATGACATGCTCAGGATCATACAAAATGTGTTTGTCCCAAAAGTCAGACAACAGCTGCTGCCATTGTGTCGTCTGCCGCAAGTCCAGTCCACCCAGCAGAAGAAAGCTGAACTCTTTCAAAAGGTAGGCAGCCCAAGTACTTGGATATATCACAGGATACCACACATTGATCTTCTTGACCAGTGGCCTCCTCTTCCGAACTGGAAGTTCAACAAAGCTTAGTTCAACAGGAGCAGTCATGCCCTGTCGATGAATCAAGCGATGTAGATTTCTGCAAGTGTTGGTCTTGCTGCTACTGGCTGCAGCTATCTTGTAGAGAATATCCAATTCTCCTAGGATCGATTACAACTTCTGCTGGAACTCAGATGACCCACATGCAGCACATACAGAAGCCTGCACAGTAGTGCAGCCTTGTATCTGTCACTGCCACCAATCTTGTAGACCAGACTTGCCATGTCTGAAGCTCCTTTGGCTGTTTCGGCCTGGGTGTAGCATATGATAGCAGGAACAGTCCTATATACATGCAAGCTAAAACAAATCCACTGACCAATCGAGACCAAGATGCCCCAGAAAGATACTTTGATATAATCTCAGAACTAACCGCCAGGTCAAGCTCGTGATCTTCTTCTGCACGTCGGATGGAGCCAGGTCCTTGTGAGAGGTTACAGTTTTAAAAGGTGTAAATGATTCATGCAATTATATCTATATATATATATGTAAATTTAACTTATATCTGTAGGGCCGGTGGCTTGTTTTATGGACTGGACCGATACAAGAGGCCATCGGGTTTTACATGCATGGGTGTGCTGCTGTTAGCTATATGTACTCTATAGCTATAGGTCTAATATATTCTAGCTAATTCACTCTGATGCATATACGTACAAGATGAAGTTGCAGGTCATACGATTTTATTTTGTTTATGGATTCGAAATAATGCACCCAAGCTTCCACCCACCAAAGAATTAAGCAGCTCGTTTCCAGCTCCACCGCGCCCTGGCTGTAGGAACAGTGATACTCCGGACTACACGTGCATATTGGCGCTTGCAGCACCGACCCTAGTTGCACAAGCATCATGCGGCAATCTTTCTTTCTCCACGGGACCGATACTCCCCGGTCAGGCATGATCTGCAGGTCATCCAATTAGCACACATACCATTAGGTTTGCGTGAATACATCAGAATTACAAGCATCTAGACTGTGCATGTTTCTGCACAAAGCACTGCCAGCTGGTTCAGTGGCACGGCCTGCACTATAAGTACATATAGGCTATTAATCTGAAAGTAAGCCCAGGGCCGACTGAAGCCAATTGATCCACCATCCACTTGTTGAAACAGACATGCAACCACTAGTACCATGCTTGCGCAGTGCATCTAAGATCGCTTCCTTTTGTTGGAAGGCTTGCTAGGAGCGGCCGAAGCAGCCCTCTTTCCCTTGATCTTGGGCGCACTGCCCCGAGGTGTGGATTTCGCCTTCGAAGGTGCCTTTGCGTGGGACCTGGTAGTTCATCGCAGATTTCGAGTCTAGGGCTTATAGGGTGTGTATAATTAGTTAATTGTCTATAGGGCTTAGGGTGTAAACCCTTGGACCCTTGGATCCCTGACAATCTATATGTATATATGTATATATATATATATACATATATTGTCAGGGATCCAATCGTCCAAGGGTTTAGGGTCGAGTGTTTTTGCAAGACAGCAGCGTATGGTATGCACGTGCCTCGCTCGGACCATCATAGCATTGATCGCCAAGTCTAGCCGGGTGCATTGGGCATAGCAGGCCAGAAGCTTTTGTTTCGTGTCCCTGATCATGATTGCAACATCTGGGATTTCTGATGCGATCAGGAAGAGCATGCAGATACACCTATACCATGCTAAATACATCCAAGTATCCGGGAGGGCGGTGTCCCCGCATCCAGAACTGCATCCTCCTGAAACTGCAACAAGGCCTTGTTGTTCGTCTCGAGATCATCAACTTTGGTCCGCAGCTCGGCGGCTAACCTGAGTTGAGTAGCTCGGGGAGTCTGAACGATAATTATATGTTCTATATATATACACATTTATGAGTTATATATATATATACTGATTATATATATATATATATATATATATATATATATATATATACATAATAATAATAATATATATATATATATATATATATATATATATATACACACATACTTTATAATTGATATAGGTATAACTTTATATATTTTGAAAATATATGATATATCGATGCCGGCCCATGCTGCTGCAATTGAGAAGAGTAGCTCGCTGGCCCGCTTCGTTCCATTCTGATGCAGCTTGTCCTGTGCCAGGTTGAATATAATCACGTACGATAGGTACAGCTGGTACATCTAGATTGAGCACAAAACACCTCCATGAAAGCTCCTTCAAGTCGTTGCCCTTGTCTACCTTCTTGCCAGTCATGTCGATGTAGACAGCGAGAACACCTTGGACACAAACAGGGGAAGGTTGCACTTAATCTATAATTGTACATGCATGTTATCCGGCGTACTGTAAAAGCACCCGTGCAATGGATCCGCCAAGATACTGAACACATCTTGGTTGGCTTGCAACACCGGAAGACACTTCTCTTTAGCTGAGCTCGCCGTCGAAGCCACAGCTGCTCGTGCATGATTAACATCCGACCTGGTTGAGCAATTGGTCCTGAACAGTACAGATCATGGATTTCCAGAGCCCAGCGATTTACACTAGTGCACACCATGGCACTGCAAGGCCGAATTCTCTGTCACCGTGTTCGTCAGCAGGCTCCTACTGGGATCCTGAAGGGCTGGTTGGGGATAGCATATTGGAGTTCGATTAAACACATGTACTAGTGGGGCTTGACCGAGTGGTTCGATCCTGGGCTACCATGCAGCTTCTAGAATCTGGTATACATTAAAATTTGCCAGCTCACATAGGTTTGTGCCTGCTTCGGGTCAATACTAGTTAGTATGCTAGCTAATCGATCAATATAAAATATGATCCATCAATTGCGTGTGTGTATATATATATATATATATATATATATTTATAGTTGTATATATATGTATAGTTGTATATATATATATATATATATATGTATATTGTATATATAATACATATTATATATATATATATATATATATATATATATACACATGCAAATGATGGATCATATCGGTTAATTATAAGTCCTGAGCTTGGGTTCCGGGTTTGCGGTCAAGCTCTCATAGGCCTGAGAGGGTATTTAGTTAGCGCCATATGCACCATAAGACCATGCAATTAATTCAATATATATTGTATGTAAGTGTTTACCATGCACATGTGACATAACCCTATGCCTCTTGCCATTAAGCCCTGAGCCCTTTACCTACAACACCAGTCCGGCCTCACACTCAAAGGAGCCCGACTGTCTGGCCGTTTGAGACTCATCGTTCCGGAAAAGAAACTCCTCCTTGGTCGGGATCTTGTACTCCTCAGCACCATGCACTTCATTTGTGCGGGTCAATCCTCTCGCGATAGCCCAGCGTTTGGAGTTCTCGATCATCGTCCTTAGAGATCGATGCAACGATTCTCTAATGATCTCGACATATGACAACCCGACTTGGTAGGGTATATAATATATTGCAGCCATGTAGCTGTGTAAATCCCTGTGCAGCCATCGATATCTCGGTTTCCCAACCTCCTTTCTTATCATTGCGTGCAAGCTGTTGGGACATCTTCTCCAGCTGAACCTCGACAGCTTTGAAGCTGCCATGCTGCAGCAAGAGTTCCCTCAGCTTCTCTCCTCAGATAGCAGGCAACACCATTACGGTTGAGGTGTAAGCTCGGGATAGTTCAGTCACCACACTAGGTACCCACAGCTAGGCATCTCAGCATAAATGTACAAGTCACTGGAGGTAGTGTCCTTATACATCCTCATGGCTTCTTCAGAGCACTTGAGCTCTCCCCGCTTGTTGGGACGGAAGTATCGATTCATCCTGGGCTAGGGCACGGCACTCACACATGCATGTAATATCATGCATGCACCTCACAAGACCCCGCAACACACATGCACACACACACACACATGCATAACCGGAACAGACCAGCATCCTCCAGTATGTGCCATCTTCATACATTGACACGGTGCTTGAACTGCTTGGGACTGGGGAGGGTGGCACAGGCGCAGACCCAGCTGGATGCCTCGGCATTGGCGTCGAGGCCTCTGTCACTGTGGGGGTGCATCGACTTGACCTCCTTGCCCGGCCCCGCTTGAATGGTTTGCCTCTCACTGGCGTAGCAACCACTCGAATCGGGTGTGGCTGGGATGGCTTGGGGTCTTCACCTTGGCGAGGAAGGCCCGGCATAAAAGCTCCTGCAATCGTAGCTTCATGCACTCCAGCTCCAGGAGTAGATCCTGCAGGCCCATATATGTTGTGAGGCCCGCGTGCTCTAGAGTCTATAATGGGGCGAAGCAGGAGGGAGAGTGTTAGATCGATCCGAGCAAAGCACATGCACACACCATCTACAAGACAGGGTCATGTATGCAAGGGAACTATATAGCATGGTGTGCACACATGTGAGTGATGCTAGTGTAGCAGGCACAACTATAGTCCTTGTGGCTCGGTGCCATCAAACGAGGCCATCTCCTGCTGGAGCTTCAGGATCCGAGCTGTCTCTTCCTCAGTTGTGCATTGCAGCAGACCACCAAGCAATCAAGAGCCCCCCTATCGATACATTTGATTGATCAAGAGTCAGCAATCTGCGCATCCAGGTCATCATCACTGATCGTTTGGCACTGATTAGACACCATTGCAAGGCCCAAGTCAAGGGACCGGCAGGTTACTGTCCTCTGCACAGGCATGTTGCTCCTAAAATTTGTGCCTCAAACATCATATCAGGGTGGCAAAACTGCACAGAGTACCGAATCGCAGCAAAAGTGTGAAATGCAAACGAGCAAAAACACCGAAATCCCAGTTTGCGCCTTTTGCTTCTTTTTGCGCCCGCTTTGCGCGAGTTTGCGCCCGATTTGCGGGCAAATCTGCTCGTAATATTTTGCTACAGCATGATAAGGATATATTTAAAGTTTTGACACCATATGGTTGGAAAACACCCTAAACCATATCGTTGCCCTCCCGCTGAGACCCACTCAGTTGCCCTCATGGGCAGCCAAGAGATCCTCTCGAAGAGGGTCTCCAGCAAGCACCTGAAGACTGCACAGATCGACCTGGAATGTTCTCGCGTGTAGTGTAGTGATCTGAAACCATTTAAGACTAGGAGCTGTCTCCTTCAGCTCTGCATCGAATGCATCCACAGTGCTTTGCCACGATTCGGGAACACAAAGGTTCTTGTTGGCAAGCAGATATGCCCACACTTCAATCATCTCCGACTCAGCCCACGTGTCCCCTAGCTCCATCGCAACGAACAGTTCCTTATCTGTGGCACCCGGGGGGATCGCAGCCTTCTGCCGCATGGATAGCCGAGGCGTCATCGATGCCTTCTCCTGCTCCCAGAGCTCGAGAAGCTTCTTGCCAAACTCTTTGGTGTAGACCCTGGGCCAGATAGGGTTTTTGGGTTAGGGTTTGGGGTTTATGGTTTAAGGGCTTGCTGGGAGATATGGATCTAATGTGGTGGGGAAGGGAGACACACAGGGAGAGAGAGAGAGAGAGAGAGAGAGAGAGAGAGAGAGAGAGAGAGAGAGAGAGAGAGACAAAGAGACCAAGGACAGCAGGCTTACAAAAGTCAGAGCTCCAAGGTCAGTGCTATAAATTAAGTTAACAGATCAGATCATCTAGGCTAGCTGAAAAGCACACTGTAGAGCTAAGGGCCTGGCCCAGTTTTTTTCAACTCATTCTTGAGGCCTGTAAACTTCTTGACACCAGTTGGAGCTTGGTAGCGACCTGTGGTGGCAAGGTTTCAGAGTACGTGTGTTCGGGACATGAAGACCCTAGGCCTGGGTTGTTATAGTTTGTATAGGGCATGGGTTTGGGTGTATGTCGTGGCCAAGCATGCAGGTATTAGAGCATGTGCACATCACAGGTGAACTGCGTGCATAAGTCTCGAGCGAACAGTCCGAAATTCCGTGGCGGACTTCATATCATCACGGCATATGTGCCCAGCTGCATCCTGCAGGCATGAGTCACACTTTCAACATAAACATGCATATCGACCCCAGCTTGCAAACCAATCAAAGTCCCAAGCCTCAAGGCCCTCGACCAGAATGGTCGAATTGGACCAGACACACGTTGGCTTCGGCGTCGGGCTCCCAAAGCATTGTTGCCAAAAGTGGGCCTTGTAGACCTGGGCTGCATTCGGGCTTGGCGGGATTTAGCGCTGTACATATTATATATAGTACAGATATGGATGTATACATTAATTCAAAATACACATGCATGCACATGTAGACTATCTATATATATAATTTATGATTTAATTCATGCCTATATATATATATGTATATATATATATATATATATATGTATATCATGGGCACTAATAAATCATGTGTGTATATATATATATATATGATATATTATAAGCTTGCATGTGTGCATGTATACATATATATGTATATATATATATATATGATATATAATTCAATATATATATATATATATATATGCACGTATCTTAACAGGTGTGCAGGAATGTGAACTTGCATGCATCTATATATATATAAATACATGCATATAATATAATATGCATGCATGCATGTAATACATGCCATCTGTAGTTAGCGTGTATGTGTACGTGCATCAGGTACACACATGCAACGGTCGATCACTAGAAGGCCACTCATATGTTCATGCATACAATGTATACATGAATGTGCACAGAAACACTATTATATAATTCGATGGTACAACACAACACACCCTGAAGCCCAACTTAAGACCTGCAGGATCCCAGCCTTGTAGCAGCATGCAATGCAAGATCACTCAGTCAGACTAAACCTCCAGGCAACTGAATCCCTCAGAATGCTTCTGAAGCAACTGTAATACTTGGCTTGTGCAACTCATAGAAACCCTTTTAAAATCCAAAATCCCGATCCATCCTCAAAGGCTTCAGAGCCATTCAGCAGGGCCCGTGATGATGCACGTGCAACGGAAGGCCTGGATCCATGCATTTAACAGCTGTAACATGCAGCTGCATATGGTTTCAGGGTTACAGATGGTCTATATACAGTATACATATAATTTGGACAAGCCACAAAGCAGACCTTGTTGACAAACCATGAGAACCGGCGGTTGAAGGGTAGGACTTGCTCGCTCCCAAGAGGCTGCTCCACAAGAAATATTCCATGCACAGCCAAGATCAATAGCAGGAGAAGCACCAGCCTGCTATATAGATATGATGCATCGAATATATATGCGAGCACACAATGCTTGTTGGGTTTGCAAACACCCGGCCTTGAAATGGTTGTGTTGGCAGCCTGCACTGATGCAACAGAACCACGGCCATCGGGGTTGATGGGTGACCTTTGCGAGGTGCCTCTGTTAATAGTGGTCCAGGTTGAACAGGGTGGAGCCAGAACATTCATAGAATTTGGAAGCTCTCGCATCACACACGTCATCGCTAGCCTTGGAGGGTTCAACCGCACACCAACCACTTGTGTATGTTGCAGACAGACTGCATCGATCTATAGCTGAGCCCTGAGCGCAAATCCTCCTGGAGATATGAAGTTCATAGAGCGGCCGGTCGAGTCATAAGTGCAATCATAAGATACATAAGATACACCAGCCTCCCGGAAAGCTTGGCTTACCCTGGCCTCGCCACTGAAAAGCTCCAGCAACTGGACTTGCATGGTCAAGTCAACATTGGTTGTCCACAGCAGCAGCAGGACCTCGAAAGAACCGGAGCTCGTATTGAAGACTCGACACGACATGTGCACCACACTTTGCCTAGGACCTATAGGACACATGACTCTTGGCCACATGGTCTTGCAGCTGAAGGGCACAGCCAATGAACACCTCCAGGAGCGGTGCATGCTTTCACAGAAACGTACACAGTGGGGTGTAAGGTTTAGGGGTGTAGAGTGTAGGGGCTTCGCTCTTGATCACACATTAGAAATAATATTGCATGCATAATTATAACCCCGATATAGTGATGAGGCACCTTGGGAGCCTGGAGTTGTACCAGGTTTGCAATCACCGACTCCCATCTTGGGATGGGCATGATGCATCCAAGGGGAGGCTCTCAGGTCAGGGGTCACACACAAACCTCGAGCCTGCAGCTACACGTGCATGCACAGGTATGTCGAGCTACATTCACAGGTCGACCCATCCTACACTTTCATAAATTGCATATTACTGCATGCATACAACCATGGCAGCTTCTCCAGCAAAAGCCCTGCAGGCCCATCGCTCGATCTTCGGCATGGATCCAGACCACCTGCGCTCGAGGCATTCACGCAATGGGTTTCATGCAGCTGATCTGGAGATACACATGCAGCTTGCATTCGCGAATCACAGCTTTTCTTTGTAGAGTCGAGCGATCAGACCCACCAGAGAGTTCTGTAAATCTTTCAAAGCCATACCTCCACCCACCGTCGGTCTTAGGGTGGCAGCATGTAAAACACTAGGGCACACAGTACACATGATTCCCAGCAGGCTGTTTGCTGCTAGGGTCCGGCAAACTATTCGATGCATAGTTGCCACAATCCATACTGTATGCAAGCCCCAGGCCCCGCTCATCCCAAAACTGCTGATGCACATGTGCAGTCAACCATTGGAGGTAGTCGGTCTACTCCGTGTCAGCGTAGGCCTGAGTTTCGAAGCAGCAGATACTATATCGATCACGACATGTCACTTGTGCATGGCCTATATATACATGGTACATGCATGCAGGTAAGTAGCTGCCTTTGCAATATCACATGCCTCTTCAATGCTCATCCCGGATGCCAGTGCCTCCTTCTTGGCTGTATGATATGCCACTGACTTCCTCGATTTTTTTTGCTTGGCTTCATCATCATCGGGATCTCTTGAGCCAGCCTTTGCCTTTGCCTTCGCTTTGCTTTTAGCCTTTCCCTTTCCCCTTCCTTTTGCTTTTGCCTTTGCTTTTGCCTTTGGTGCTTGCTGCTGCTTCTTGGCTGCTGCTGGGCGCCTCATAGGCAAGTCTTCATCCTCATCATCTTCCTGCTCTTCCTCCTCCTGCTCTTCCTGTGCATCTTCATCTTGGCTTGCTTCATCTTCTGCTTCCTCCCCTTCCTTACCCTGCTCCTCTTCCTCTTCATCCTGCTGCTCCTCGTCATCATCCTGCTTTTCCTTCTTCTTGGAAGCCTTGGCCTTGCCCTTGCCCTTGGGTTTGGGTTTTTGCTGCTTGTTCGGGGCCAAGGCAGGCTTTACCTTTGACATGCACGGTGGCTTTGAAGGCAAAACCATAGGTCCTGGGGATTCCAGCTGCTCTGCGGAGGCGGCAGCTGCGTGCATCTTCACATCAGGGGGCAAGCAGGTGCCATCCCCAGGCTTTGCACCAGGGGTCAGCAAAATGCTCTTTTCAGATGGGGTCCCGCTGGGCTGTGGGGAAGCCTTTCCAAGCTGAAGCTCAGAGGTACTCTCAAAGCTGAGTTGGCGAGCTAGAGGTACCCCACCATTCTCAAACGTAGGCTGTGCATCGTGGGGCCAAGCCTGCGTATCCATCTCATCCATCACACCTTGGATGCATGTGCATGCATGCATGCAATATGACCCATGCATGATAACGTACTGTAGATCTCGACTTGCAAGTATACTTCCCCCAGACAATATAGTTAGTATTAATGCAATCACGACACCTGCAGTGGGAAGAGCCTTGGCCTTCCCCTGTTCCTGTTCATAAAGCCGTGCACTGTGCACCTTTGCAAGTTCCGCACGAAGCTTTGTCAATCGGTCCTTGGATAGCATGCATGGTGCACATCAGCAATTTAAATTAAACATGCACCGTCGGTCATGTGGCACTACAATAATCATGGGCACGTGACCAGCTCTCGTCGCTTCCGTACAAGTTCTGGGTTGCACTCACCACTCTCGCTCAGGACACCGAGGGAGCCCACGACTCCACAGGCCAGGCACTTGAACTCATTGTCCGAAGTGGCGGCTATCACGTGCAATTTCAAGGGACCCTTCTTCTCCTCGGGGGCACCTAGGCAAGGGCAGGGACTTCTAGGAGAGGGCATGTATAATATAATACGTACAGCTAGAGAATGCACGGGCTCATTCAGATGTAGCACCAAACTTGTGGGTCTTTGCGCCAGCGGAGCTTGCGATGGAGGGTGCGGGAGATCCAGGATTCGACTTGGCACCTGCATTCATGGTAATCGGCTGCAATTGGGCACTGCATTTAATGCATGTATTAGACTGCAAATGCACTAGGAATCAGGCCTCCAGCTTCAAGCTGATCCCGCTGACTGATAGGGGGAGGCAACTTCTTCTTTGGGTCTCTTGAGGAACCTGGATTTTCCTTGTCTGCATGTGGAGCTTTGTCTATCTGCGGCGTGTCCTGAACGGTTTGTCCCTGCCCACTGATGTCCTGTGGCTTTGGCTCGGACTGAATGCTTGGCTGGATGTTCTGCAGTGGCTTTGGCTCGGACTGAATGCTTGGCTTCTGGATGTTCTGCAGGGGCTTTGGCTCGGACTGAATGCTTGGGTTCTGGATGTTTTGCGGTGGCTTCGGCTCGGCCTGAATGCTTGGGTTCTGGGCTTCATGCGACTCTTGCAGGTTCAGCATTTGTTCCTCGGTTGGCTTTGGGATATCGGTTGCTTGCAGAGTGTCACTGGTTGTGTCACCCACGGCCTCATGATGTTGCTTCTCAGGACCCATCCTTCGGAGCTTTGCAGGGCGTTGGGTAAGCTCCATCAGTGGCTCTTCGGAAGCTTTCGGGGCCTCAAGCACCAAGGCCTCACCAAGCGACAATCCATCACCATCAGGATTCCCTGTCGCCTCAGGAACATCCACACATTCATCATCTTCCATCAAGCCTTCCTCTTCACCTTCTTCCATACACGAACCCTCACTATCATCATGTCCCTGGCCCCTTGCTTCAAGTGCAGGTACAGGAATTCCAGCTTTCACCATCATCCCACGGATGATGGCAGATCGAGGCCGATGAGGCCGCCCGACAACACGGTTGAAGCAGGAAAGAAGCTTCTTAAGTTGCCAGGCAAATGCCCCAAGCTGTGTACCTTAATTGCATTATACATATATGCATGCACACATGCTTGCACTCCTGCTACACATCCACTGCAAACCCTTTCATCAGCAATCCTGCATGCATGTGCGTGCATAGTTGTCAGACAAGATACTGGCAACTGGAATCTTCATAAGCCCATACAGGGCCTTCAAGTGGAGCTCGATGGTGTCCACACCCACACGTGAACCAAGATGCAAAATCAATGGCATCAACACTTCCTCGTTGAGCTCGATAGCTGCCCGATCCAGCTGCCTGGTGGCCGTAGTTCTGACCATGCATCACAAAAGAATGCCATGCATGTGCGTGGCATGGTATGTACTGTGCGCGCTATACCATTAATATTGCATGCAGGCTAGTGACGAACACATTCGCAGCCACTCGCCGGCGTATGCCTGGGAGTTTTTCCCAGGCCCTGGCAAGGTCGGTGCTGGACCCATCGAGATCGACATCCATTGCAGTGCTAGCCTCCATGGTCATCGAGCCTATATATTACATAATTGCAATCTGCATACTAGTCGCTAGCATCCCTGGGCATGCAAGCATGTGCCCTGCATGTGCAACAGCTGCTGAACCAAAGCATGCATGCATTGCAAGTGCACGAATGATCAACCGCTCATGCACAGTTGATGCAATGCTGCAGGCATCCAGTGGCAAGGGTGGGCTCACCATATGGCCAATGGCCAAAGAAGATGATAAAGCCACCTGGCGTCAATTATCATTTGCAGTATGGCCGAGCTTGAGTTCTAAAACCGTGCTGCATGCCAAGCAGGCCTTTGAACCATGTACTAGGAGAGCCAGACCTGCAAGCCAAGGCATACTACATCCTGGAAATAATGCTCATGATGCTGGCAGCTGCCTCCGCCATGTCACTGCCCATCACGGCTGAACCATCCACCGGGGCTTTGGCAACAAATGCTATACTTATATGGTCAAAATGCATGGTGTGCTATCTGCATGAGATGCTAGGCCTGCTAGGCTGTAGGGTATCTATAATGCTTGCTCCCTGAAGGTTCTTGTTAATGCATGAATAGCTCATGTCCTTCAAAACGCCATTCGAAGAGAATCGCTCGAAACGGCAATAATCGCTCGAATTGCACGAATACACCCGGTATGCTAGGTTAAAACCCAAAAGTACTACAACAACCAAACGAGCAGGAATTAACGTATCAATGGAAGCAACAGGTATGTAGATTGGCAGGTATGTAAGGTCAGCTAAATAAATACATTCCCCTATAAACCCTAAACCACTTTTCGTTTCTGGCTAGTTTAGTTACAATGCAGGGAACCTCTAAACCTGGGTAGTTGTCAAAATTGGAATCCCTTTTTGGGTACCCTAAATAATAGGTGCCGTGCTATAATAAGGAACCAAATAGGGACCCTAATTTCGAAAACCACCCACATGCCAAGCCTCTAGTTTGACGTGAACCCCACGCGATTTCTAGCCTCGGATTTGATTTCTGGTCTGCCCCAAACCCTAAACCTTACTTGGAGGCCCGGGTTATGAGAGCCGTAAATGGAGTTACTATGTCCCTGAGCCTCCAAGTACAGACCCTAAGCCCCAAGCTAAGCCCTGCAACTCCCACAATCTGAACCAGCAATCTCAACCCACGAACCTACGAGCTAAATCCCAAAACCCAGACTCCTCAATCCCCCCCGCTCCCAATATGAACCCCAAAGCCTAAACTCGCTGAGGCTTCTTGTGAATTAAGATATATATAATGATATATAGTTAAGATTTGTGCAAACACGCCCTTCCTACATACGGTAATATACAAACATGCATACATACCCATATGTACACATCAAGCAAAGTACATGACCTGCAGTGCGTCTGGGTATACAAGCATGCACAGGATATGGCCCATCCGTTCGTCTACTTGTCCATTCATACTGCGCACATCCACCGACTGCCCCGTATTTGCAGACTCCAAGCCTTAAGCCCGAAGTGGTAAGCCCTCATGAAACGCTAGCAAGCCTAAGTCGTGAACCCTAAACTAATCCCCAAAGC